CAGCCCTGTTTAACACACCGCATGGATTTGGTCTTGAAGTAAGACAAATTTTGATTTTTCTCCAATGGGTCAGTTGTGCTGGTCATAGAACCGTGTTTTGATGCGTGATTCTTTTAGATCAGCAAAAAAAATGGTCAGTCCAAACCGCAATTTTCTACGTTCAGTATTAACCGAGATATCGCGCTTTGAAAAATTCGGTTTATGACATCGTCCATCGCGGTAGTGACACCCTTGGTTTCTTACACCTTTGTTTCATAAGGCATCAGGGAGACACTCATTTGCAGTGGACACTCAACGTGAACCTCGGATGTTTGCAAGATGAAAGAAACCAAGGGTGTTTCTATCGCGGTGGATGACGTCATTAAACGAATTTTTCGAAGCGCGATATCTCGGTTAATCTTAAACGTAGAGAGTTGCTGTTCGAACGGATCTTGTTATTTTCAGCCAACCCAGAAGAGTCAAGCATCAAAACATGATTCTGTGACCAGCGCAACAGACGAGAACATTAAAGAACCCGAAGTGCAGATACTTCTCGACCTTGCCATACCGGTGGGTCCTGATTGGTTACGTGCCGAAATGAGAGCACTCTTAAAATTGGTTTTAATAATGGGAAGGGCTTGAGCGTAAAAATTGCGTGTTTGCCTAAAATTGAGATGAAAATCGTGTATTCTGGGCCAAACCGCGGTACAAATTGCCCATTTTATGCAAACTCGCTGTGCAATTTTCATTGGTCATCGAATTGAATTTTTCAGGAAAAAGGGGTTTTTAAAATGGGAAAGGCTAAAAACTTTCTTCATTCTTGCAAGTAAACTATAGTAGGAGTCAAAAGTATTCTTCACTGTAAGAACAAATGTTGCCAAATTCGTGATGACAAGCTCCGAAGTATCTGATGCAGCAGTTATTGACCTGCGTAGTGTGTATAATGCGAATTCCATACTTATTTTTCTTGTGTTTATCTCTTTATTTATCTATTCTGCACTCTTTTCAGTGCGGATGTTCTTTCGACTCGTGTTTGGACGCCATCTTCTTTTTCTCGTCCTCGAACTCAAATTTTCTCCGATTTGGATCTGTTCAACGCGATGTGTTAAACGCTTGTCCAGCCACAGCTCGAGACGAACCACCATAAACTAATTTTTCTAAGTCTCAAAAATGTGTGCACTCAGAGATCCCTTTCGACCTGAACAGGACGCAGGAGCAGGAATCCACCCGAAACAGCTCTACAAGTTCGGATGAGCAAAAACAAATAATGAATGCGCCGACGAGAAAGCGAGAGCTCCTTCATCTCGGAGGCTATGCAATTTTAACTACTTGGAAGTTGAAATAGTCGTATCACAGATTTTACTCATAGGGCAGCGTATTCGGCGGAACGAATATGATATGCGCATCGGAGGATTAAGTCCGGAAACCGCAGTTTTCAACAAGGAAGAATATTTCTTAAACTCAATTCTCCTTTAGTCGAAATTTTAGGATTTTTAGGAATACAACCGAAAAAAGAGTATAAAAGAACAAAGTCATAGAAGGAGAGGGGGAGACCAAAGAAGAAGAGACTTGGCGCTTCAAATGTTTCGTGTAAAGAATTTCTAAAAGAATAGGTACACTATGCGGTAGAAATACTCTAAAAAGTCGGGAAATTTTATGTTCAAAATCGGTGAGAAGTCACAGAATCTTGAAATAAATTGAACGAAAATCGAAAAATCCCGTGTTTTCGCGAGCCCTGGCCGGCAATGCTAGATGTTCTTCTCACGTGTACTCCGAGCGTCTCAGGGTTCATATTAAGAATCGAAACAGCATGCTATGAAACCAAACAGACGAAAAATTCACCCCCGTAGTCAAACTCCAGTAATTAGCCGTGCAATCCCCTCTCGGAAATCGTCGAGAATCGAACCATTTGGCAACGCCGCCGCGTAATAATAGTTCTAAAATGTCATTCCCTAGCAACTGATAGTCAGAGCTCTGTTCGTACCCCGTTACGTAGTTGTCAAGTCTTCGGCTTACACCGCACGTGACTCGAACTCGAAAGTTAAGTCGCTCTAAAGGTTGTCTAAAGGATGGCCTCCTTGCAAAATGTCAGCTGACACCGAGCAAGACCCGGATGAGGGAAAATCGTTCAAGAACAAGGTGTTGAGTGATCTTGGCGAAATGTTTCGTCTCCTTTCCTTTGTCATAGCTTTGTTCCTCGTTGTGCTTTACGTCCAATTGCAGGCGTTTTTGAGTGAATATTTTGAGCTTTGAAGACTAGAAAAGGGGTAGTGGAAATCCGTCGCGCGATCGCCCCTATGGTCCGCAGCGTCAGAATAATTTATTCTTTCTTTTCTGTCGAACCATAGCTTAATCTCTCCTGCTTTCGGCCAGCGATTGACATAGCATTCTGGAGTACGATCTGAAGGGCCCTGAACCCGATAGCAAGTTGTGTTTTTCTCCCTTGTGGGATTGTTGATTCTGAAATAAATCGTCGTGTTTATTCAAGTGCGTCCGGTGAGTAGCCATGGCTTTGCTCCGCAGCACGCTGCCGCCCCCTCTCTCTACCTTTTGAACTGACATCCCCGCTGTGTAAATGAAGTTGACTCCCTTCGTCCTATTCGAATTTTTCACGGTATATTCAGGGGTGCAGTAGCGCAGATTGCACGAAGTCTTCTCAATTTTCGAAACGAGGTTTAAAATTTCGTTTGCAACGCAGGATTTTTTCGAAGAAGACTGGTCGGCGCGTTGTTCTGAGCAAAAATTGGAATGGAACCGCCCTCATCGTTGATGGATTCTTACTTTCTCGCTCCCATAGGGTAGAGAGGAAGTATTGTCATCCTCCAAGAAAAAAAAAAAAAAAAAGTTGAAATTTCATCATTTCTAGACGTTTTAAGGTCCCAGGAGTAAAAATAACCATACTTGAAAAAATGTGTGTCCGTCCGTGACCGTGTGGCGTCCCCCAAATCTGTCCACAGCGATATCTCAGAATCTATCTGTTCGATTTCATTCAAAATTGGCACAAGGCACCATATCTATGGTCTCCTTATGCACGTCCAACGATTTTGAGGTACGCTAAAATTTGGGGGGGGGCTACACTCAATTGTTCATTTTTAGCAAAATCACACGGAAAGCTCATTTTGAGGGACTGTAAATTTTAAAAAATGCCTTTAATTCTTTAAAATTGGGCATCAAGCACATCACCTGGGTCATTAATTTAATGCGCCTTTTTTTTTTTAGCTCACTTTATCTCGTTAACTAATGCTTCAGATTTACATTTTTATTAAAATAATTTTTTAGGGGAGGATTTTTTTTTAGTAAATTTCTGAGCCAAACCCTTATCGTCTAGTAGTACGCAACTTTTAAAACTTTAAACGCGATTTTCTCAAAACTTAAAGACACAATATTCATTATGATTACAGTTGCGGCCTCAGCTAACCTGCCTCAAAGTACAAAAATCAAAGTTGAGTTTATTAAATAAAAAAACACATTCATCGAAAGAAACATTTTTCTTACTTTAAATTCGGACTTATTCCAAAATGTGCAGATATCGAATATTGAGGAAGGAATCCATGGCAACACTTACCACCGTAAACCGTGTACCACTTCGCTCAGTGTGACATTGCTATGAGATATTCATTCAAGAATGAAACTTCGACCTACGCAGGTGTGTTTAGTGGAAACGGCCATTTTTTTTCACTGAAAACCTCGAGAGTGCGTCGTACCCTCCATGGTGGCTGAACCTGCCGCTTCAAAAAAATTATGAAAAAAATTCCGTTTCCATTTTCTTTTCTCTGCAGACACTTTTTTTTACATCTTAGAAATGAATAAATGAAAGTAACAAAAAACTCCCAAATCTTTTAAAGAAAATGACAAGTGGGCTAGTAAGCTCAATCGCATAAAAATGTCTTGTTTTGCGTGTTTGTTGAGTGTTGTATTGTAGCTAGGCCTTCCTGATTATCATCATAACTGTATTAAAGCCTCGATAGACGATCAAAGTCCCGAACCAATTACCATCAAAGTGTCGGGAGTCATCAGTCTTAAACTCATAAATTTGCTTAATTTTAAAATAGAAACTTGCCAGAAATGTTTCCTGAGGCAGAAAATGATGAATGATGACACTCCATTCTGATCTTACTTTGAACAAAATAGTGCGGCCCGTCAAAATTTGATGGTAGATGGTGACCATCAGTCATCAGCATGTCTACTTTGTTCGGAATGGGTTCGGAATTTGATCGTCTATCCAGGGCTTTAAGGTGATTTCTCCTAGAAAGTAAACAGTCATCGGTAAAGTTCGCTAAAATACGAGTTATACTTTTCACTCGATGTTTAAAAAGAGAAGCAACCGTGTAGGAGAATTTTTCAATAGTCTATTGCTGAAAAATCTCTTTCGAAACCCCTAACTCGAAGCCAAACGAGACTAACCACAAAATATCGCAGCCTATTAGTCAAATCAAACTGGAATTTTTGCGTTTATAGTCTCTTTTACTCAAATTTAGGGGTTTAGGTAGAGATTTTTCATCAATAGATTGGTGACGTATGCTTCTACACTGTTTATTCAGCTCTTTTTTTTACAAAGAGTGGAAAGCAGAACTCGTATTTTAACAAATTTCGTTCGATATATCGATGTTCGTTTACTTCCCTTACTCCTTGGTTTCCTGGTTCAGGAAGTTAATTGTACAACCGTGGTCGTCTAAACCATTTGACCTGGACTAGATTAAAAAAATGATCACCTCAAACGATTACTCATAAAATGCCATTAAAAAGATGATCGAGATTATGACCTGCAAAAAAGAGGAGAAAATTCTCCTCTTCTTTGCGGATTGCATTCGTGCTTTGCGATTAATCGATTGATCTGCCATTTGAACCTATGGAAAAGGATCGATAAATAGGGTGTTCGCAACGAACGCATCGTTTATCGATTCTTTCCCATAGCTTCAAATGGGGAAATATCGATGCATTCACGCTTTGCTACTGCTCGTCGTACTTCTTTGACATTGTTTCCAGCCAAAATAATTTTTGAATCTCCTTTTTTGTTTCAGGAGTGAGGCATTTCTTGCATGGAGTTGGCCTCGTTGTTCCGGTTACCATGCTGGAACTAAAATGAGGACAGTCTATTTTTGTATTGGTAAGTTGTATACTTTCAAAACTTCGATGAGAGTTCTCAGAGTTTTTACGATAAAACGTGGCAAAAGGCACCCTCATCAAAGTGTCCACTACTATTCATATTTCTTCGCTTAAGCACGAACAGGATCTACAATGAAGCTGTGTTTATACCAAAGTAGTTGTTTAGCTATCATAATATGTGTGATTTTTTTTCCTCCCCCCTCTTTCCCGCCGCGCCCTGTTTTTTGGTGAATTATTGGCATTTCAGCTTGAATTTTGTTGGGAAAACATTTGTCGAGCTACATCACGCCATTTATTTAGTTTCTTATTGTGTTTGGCCTCAGAGTCTTTGGATTAACTTTATAGACTTCAATTCGCCATTCGCAGCAAATCACCAATTGGATCGCTTTTAGCAAAAAGGAACCAGCGCGATTTCAGTGTTTTCAAAATTAAGCATTCTCTCCTTTTCTTTTAAAAATACTCAATATATGTACAGTATTGAAATTTTCACGATTATTTCCCTCTAAAATGAAAAATTTTTGGTGGGAGACAGAAACTACGCGCTATTTTGAGAAATTTTATAGATAATTTTGACGGAGCAACATTTTTACAACATTGTATTTGCGCTGGTTCCTTTTTGCTAAATGCGATTCAATTGTAAGTCCACAAATCTTGAAATGAACAATTTAGGTATATGTCCAGTCTGCCATTTAAAGTCTGCAATTCGTCAATTTGATTAGGGCCAAGTTCAGTAGAATGGGGCCAATTCACATGAGGTCAAGATAAAGTGGTTTGAAGTTTCATTCCTCCATATGTTTGTTAAGAATAACCCTGAAGCATCATCCTCACAAAATCATATTGTTTTTTCTGAACTTCTAAGTTTTGACTGGAGGAAATTCTTATCACTAGTTTAGCTTCAAGCCATTCATAACTCAATTTTTTCTATAATATAGACTGGTCCATCTCTGTTGGAATTGATCTGTTTCATTCAAAAACACATTTACCATCAGAACAATCGCCTTTTTAAAATTTCTAGATTATATACTCCCTTGCATTTTGATAGAGACTTAGTATTGTTTGAGCATGGATTGTTGTACCTTGTACTTGGATCCCGATTTTGTTTTACAGCTTTTTACTTACAGTTAGTTCAATGTTTAATATTGTAATTAGATTGTAATGTGTGTGTTATATTTGGCCAATTTGTTCAATTTTTGCACTCATGGCGTATTTACATTTTAGTTTTTCTCCGCCCCCCCCTCCTCCAATTTATGTTGTTTGTTTGATTGAACCGAAACCAATGAAAGATAGATATTCAATCAGTTTTCTCGGCTGTTGATCTGAATTTTGAGTAAAACAGATAAGTCTTAATATTCTAAAATATGTTCAGTAAATTTTAAAATTCTAATCTCAAATCTTGAGAAATACTGTCATACTGCCTTCACATCTAGCCATCAATTTCATCTTTGCTGAAAAATTCAGTTTTCTTCGAACAAAGTTTTCTACTTTTACCATGAAGGGAGAGAACAGAAACATTTACTTGAATGGATCTCCAACGAAACCAAGTATTTTTTCCCCCATACCCTTCCCATTACCCCCATTTCTCTGTTATTTCATCCAGGTTTTCAAGTTTTATTTTTCAGTAATTTTAGTCAGACAGTTGTTCCTTATTTTTGTTTTGGTTTTTGCTTTCAGACGATTGGAACCAGTAGGTAATAATGGATTCCATTAGTACCACTGCAGCTGCTGCAGATCAGCTCCTGGTTTCAAACAACATAATTAAACTTGAAATTACGGATAAGAGTAAACAAGTTAGCAACACTGACAATGCAGTCCCACCTTTTATCAGGACGCCTGAAACGGACGCGTATGCAAATGCATCTCACACGCACCCCAGTGGGTACGCAGATCTGGGCGGAGTCAGTAGCAATATTATCCCTGACAATCCCATAGCTAATATTGATATTGATAGACTGAACTATTTGGAAACAGCAGATGAGAGTCTAGAAGATAGCAAGCCCTGTTTGACTGATGGAACCTTCATCAATGATCTTGTTCCTAGTAGACAAGAATTGAGCTCAAGAAAATCAAGGGATGGTTCTCGCAGTAGCGAGCAACTACCCTCTGAAGCTCCTTCAGTAGCAAACAGTTATTTACACAATTTTAACTCTTGCTCTCTGAAGGACCTACCAAGCGGTAGCACAGAAGCGGACTTCGGTATCGTAAAAGAGGAGTTACACATCGAAGATATCGAAGAGGGCGCTGAATATTCCTGTCTCTCGTCGCAAAGTAGTGTTACAGAAAATCTTTTTGCTAACTCGCTGCCAGAATCTATCGAACCGTTCATTAAAGGTAATTGAATTGTATTGAGTGATTTGGTTTTCTACCCACCCTTAAACTCTTTAAGTTTTTTCCCCAGCTACTAAAGATGCCATCAGAGACTTAACTTCCTACCAGGGATCTAAACTTTCGGTCTTTTCTATTACCTGACGAATAAATTATTTTGTAATTTTATAAGGAATCAATCTGGTACGTAAAATATTCTCAAATCATTAATGAAGCGAAATGAACTTTATCAGTCAAAGAATCTTTCTGAAAATCCCTAGGAAAGAGAAAAAAATAGCCCTTTTTTAAATCCAAGAAGAGTATCAATGGAGAAAGATAAAACGGAGATGTTAAAACTTACATCCTCTAGGGAACCTCAGTGAAAAATTAAATTTACTTAACATTACTTTCTCACAAATTTTAAGGTATCTAACGTAACTGTTCAGTTTTTGTTGTTGTTGTTTCTACTTTTCCATTGGTGACGGTTCTTCTTTTCGTATCTTTAATTACTATGGTTCTTCACTGGTTTTTTGCATGTCTGCATTTTTTTTAATTTAGTTTTTTTTTTCAATTTTCTACCTTTTGCTTGAACATTGTTATCACCATTCCGTAGCAGGTGTATATGGTTTCATCCTTAATTGTGAAAGCAATCTGGGAATCCCTCCGATAAAAGCCATGGGAGAAGAACACAGGTATAGACAAAGCAGCTGTAGCGAAGCATTATGAGAAAAAAAAGTAAAAGTCCTCTAGTTATGAAAGGCTCTCTTTCATGAACACTTTGGCAGGACTCTTGCACATCAACTGAAAATGAGCCTGTTTCTCACGAATATAGAATGTCCCAAAGCGAGTGGCGGAAACTAAAGAGATCTATTCTATAGACCGAAATAAGACTATTTTTTTTCTGTTACAGTCTTTTGTTTGAGTCATTTTCAGAAGGAGCCAGAGCCCCCCCCCCCCCCCCCCCCCTTTGAACCCACGGACACTCACCCGTTTGTTCTTCTTCTTCTTATCCATCTGGAAAGGTTGAAGGACACAGCTATTAGAAAAATATCAATTTTTTAAAGGAGCTTTGAGGGCCATATCTCCTCTAAAAATGTCTGAAATCCAAAAAAATTCACAGAACTATAAATTTTCTTTTTGGTCTAACGAATTGATTTCGAAAGTTAATGTAAGAGGCATTGATCTATAGACCTGTTTTATTAACTGATTGTGAGCTCATGTGCAAATGTTTCCCATAGAAGCCTGTGATACATAAGATGGAGCAGCTAAGTAGAGGCGAGTTGATTCTTGTTCCAATCCAATTTTCTTTTTATACCATTGATGAAGGAAAAACAAATATTCTCCTTTAAAAAGACCGCTCTCTAAAACTTTCACATCAAAGCTTCTAGTCAATGCATGATATTCTTGTGTTCAATTTGTCGCATTATCACATCATTGTGCTTTGGTACATCATTCTGCAGTAGTAATATTTTAGGTGTAAAGAGCTTGATGCAAAAACGGCTTTTTTCGCCCCCCCTCTGGAAGTTCTTCAGACTTTGTCTATTGATTACTCATACTTGAGCGCTTCTTTTCCCAAATTTTCAGACCCCCAAAAAATTTTGGGGGGGAGCTAGGGGGGGTGGAAGTCAAAACCTATGAACCTCGATATCTCTTGAACAAAGAAAGATATCGAAGTCCGGTTTGGACGAAAAATCGTCTAAAATTGCATACTTTAAGATTCTAAAGGTCAAAATCCCGATATCACATTTTTAAGTCAACATATGTGCTTTTTTCCAGTTTTTAGGTCTAGAAAATTTCTTTTAAACGAAAAATTTACAAAGATCTCAATTTTTTATTTGAACCAAAACCAGTTTTTTAAATTGTTCGTCTTTTTCCGCATCCAACGAGTGGTCCATTAAGCTGGGGAACCAAACGGTTCCGGAGTTATGATCGATTGAAGTTTCCGCTCAACGCGCGCCGACCGATTTTCGCGCGCAAAAAAGTCGGATTTGACTGTTATTAGATCAGATTGAATGTTCAAACTGAGCAAAATGCTTTATTAGGGACTCTTGAGGGTCGCTGAGTTCAGAAATTACCGATACTTCCAAAAAATTCACGTTTTTAAAATTGCAGCTCCACAGCGCTATTTTAGAGGCCCACTGAGCGCCGACCGGCCGCTCAGTGGTCCTGTCCGAAGCTGCAATTTTAAAAACGTGAATTTTTTGGAAGTATTGGTAATTTCTGAACTCAGCGACCCTCAAGAGTCCCTAATAAAGCATTTTGCTCAGTTTGAACATTCAATCTGATCTAATAACTGTCAAATCCGACTTTTTTGCGCGCGAAAATCGGTCGGCGCGCGTTGAGCGGAAACTTCAATCGATCATAACTCCGGAACCGTTTGGTTCCCCAGCTTAATGGACCACTCGTTGGATGCGGAAAAAGACGAACAATTTAAAAAACTGGTTTTGGTTCAAATAAAAAATTGAGATCTTTGTAAATTTTTCGTTTAAAAGAAATTTTCTAGACCTAAAAACTGGAAAAAAAGCACATATGTTGACTTAAAAATGTGATATCGGGATTTTGACCTTTAGAATCTTAAAGTATGCAATTTTAGACGATTTTTCGTCCAAACCGGACTTCGATATCTTTCTTTGTTCAAGAGATATCGAGGTTCATAGGTTTTGACTTCCACCCCCCCTAGCTCCCCCCCAAAATTTTTTGGGGGTCTGAAAATTTGGGAAAAGAAGCGCTCAAGTATGAGTAATCAATAGACAAAGTCTGAAGAACTTCCAGAGGGGGGGCGAAAAAAGCCGTTTTTGCATCAAGCTCTTTAATCATCATAAATTGAGTTCGGAAATTTTTTTTCAACTATCAGGATCTATTGTGTAAGTAATTTCTCACATAAAAATGAATGTAAAAATTATAGCGAGATATTCAAAGAATATATTACCCGAATAATATTTGTTTTTTTAGTCGGTTCAGTTGTAATCTACTAACATTCTCTTAACTGATCAAAAACAAGTTTTCCCACTATGCAATGTCTGCTAAGATTGGTACTAATATCTACCCTCTTTCAAACGAATTTAACAGGAGAGACCCGATTCTAAATAAGTTATAACAGACGTTTTAAGTTTTCTGCTCCCATGACGTTCAATATCAAAAATGAATCAGAAGTCCATTTTTAGAATCCAACATATCATCGGTGGGTTATGATTTTTTAGCAGGAGAGTGTATTATTAAACAAGGATTAAAATCACTTTCAGCCATTTTCATATCTTTTTTTGGTGAGTTTATGTGCTTTTAATGCCCACTTTATTGTCATAATTTTCTCTCTTTTAAGTAAGGTTTTTGTTTTTAAATTGTTCACAGGAAATGAAGCAGAATCTCTATTGAAGACTGATGTTAGAATGAATGAAAATGCTTCTCAAGAAAACGTTTCTGAAATGTTAGATTTATTTAACAAGCCTGTTAAACCAATTCGGAGGCAACGAGTGAAGAAAACACCGAAAATCGGAGCCAGATTGAGCAGCGTCATCAACAAACTCGCCCAAAGCAAAGAGACCTTAATTATATCTACAAGTAATCCCAGTTGTTCAGCTACTGCTACCTCAGAAAGTAGTTTTCCATCGGACGCTGTAAATGAAGCATGTAGTGGCTCACATGCAGCAGCAACTCAGTTGGACATTCAAAGATCGGAAATTTCTCCCGCAAACACTGCCTCCGCCTCGACTACAGTTCAAAGTTTAAGTGATGCTCAAGTTTTGTCAAATTCTACAAATCAGTGCCTAGATAGTAGCATTAGTAAAAATTGTGATGAATTTTCTGCGCCCTCAAATTCGATTTCTGAATCGTCAGAATCACTGGACAAAACTAAGTCTAGTTTAGTTGTAGATCGGCTCAAGCGCTTAGGTACAAGTATTGAAGTTGAGAAACCTACCACAGATGCCTTGGAATCAACTCTTGAGAAACGATCAGGGGTTGCCAGCTTGAACAAATCTGAACCAAGCATTACAATTGAACCTCAGCCATTTGTTACAACTAGAAGTCTAAGTCAGTCCCTCCCCACTTTGCGAGTCCCCTTGACCAAGTCAAGAACTGTAAAGAAAACATCAGGGAAACCGCAAGACGCGGAAGCCCCCACTGTAAAATGTAAGAGCACTGAGACGGGGGTTAGTTCAGAGGGAACCAAATCAGCAACTGAATCCAAGCGAAGTAGCGCTGAGTCCACACAACCTGTGCTAGAACCAAATGATGATATCAGTTTACTTCAGTATAAAAATTGTCTGAACATGCTTGAAACATTGGTAAAAGCAGATGATTTAGTCACAGATATTACCAAGAATTGTATAAAAAACAAAACAAATAGGAAAATTAATAAAAATGTGCTTAAATATGACAGTACATTAAGTAAGCAAAATTGGAAAAGTAATTTAGTCACTAATGAAAGTAGTCCATCGAAAACAACTCTCATACTAAACAAAAAGAATCCTTTAAAAACAAAAATCAAAATAGTCAGCAATCCTGTCATTAACACAACTCAGGAAACCGATTCCGTAGTTGAGGGAGCCAAAAACCCTGCCACTAGTCAGAAGATTGATGGTGAAAGAGTAAAAATCATAATGGACAAACATAATTTCACTCTTGGTGAGAATTCTGTCTTAGAAATGCCTAATGGATCAAAAATGTATACCTGTGATGTTTGCAATGGGGTCTACCAGAAAGGTTTTAGCCTAAAACGGCACTACTTGCGGTCACATATTAACAACTACTTTTTCTGCGTCAAAGAAACGGAAACCAGCGGATCGTTAACTTTTCAGCTCTCAGGAGGTGCCGATGATAATGGTGGAGTCGATCCATCAAAAGCTCTTCTCTTTCGATGCCACTTTTGTGGTTCTTGCTTCTCTCTCAAATCTGAATTGAAAGGTCATCTCACTGCCCATCCACCTGTCAATTCGATTAGCACCAATGATGTGAAAGTTTACAAGTGCATTAATTGTTCAATAGTCTTCAATAAGAAAAAGGAATTCAGCAAGCATCGTAAAACATGTGTCATTGAAGTTCCTGTGGCTCCACCTCCCGTGTATGCTCCGAAGCAACGACTGAATCAGAAATTGCTTTGTTTGTTTTGCCCTAAAGTATTTCCGTCAGCTGTCGATCGTCGAAAACATGGTTTAAAAATGCACCATCCAAAGAAGAAGGTCCATGGATGTTTCAAGTGTATAGAACAATTTTTATCCCAAGCAAATGTTTATCAACATCTACGAGAAGTTCATAAAAGTGATTATTTCAGTTGCTCAACCTGCAAGGAACGTTTTGCCAATGACTTGGAACTGAAAACTCATTGTCAAAGAAAACATAATGGCAATATGGATGTGCTTAATAGTGTAAGTGACAAAAATGGTGTTATAGATTGGTTCGAGGAACCAGAAGAAAAACTCCCAGAACTTATTTGTAATGTCTGCTCTAAATCATTCTCAAGTCAGTCCAACTTAAATAAGCATACCAAAACCTTCCATCTTCTTGAAAAGAACGATAAAAATGCTACCTCTCCAAAGCATGTCACAATTTTGTCCAAAGCAGGTAATCCCGGCAAAGAATCCAAAACCTCGAAAACTAAAATTGACCCCAAAAAATTGAACTCAAAATCGAAAAGTGACCCAAAAAGTAAAGATCAAGATATGTCTTTTTATTCTGAGTTATCAGATAACATTCAGTTCAATCTAATGCATCACATAGATGGCAAGCTGCAAAATGAAAAGAAAAATGCACCTCCATCTTCTGTTGAGATCACCTCAACTGTGAGTCCACCGCCACCTCCTGCAAAAGGTGACTCTCCCAGTAAAACTCAGAGTCTTGCCCAGCTGGATCTTGTGGGGAAAAGCTCTCTCAATAAGGGAGCATCCACAAGCTCAGTGCAAGACGAAAAACCTAATGACTGGTATGGCAATACACTGAACTACACAGAAGATATGTCTCACCTCGATATTGCCACACAGCTAACTATGAAGAGAAATTTACATATCCTCAATTCTTCACGCGCCAAATCAGAGGACACAAGCCAAGTCTGTGGCAACATCAGACTCAAGAGAGTGAAGGATCTCTCTAAAGACCTATCTCTGGAACGACCCGAGACTCTTTGTGCCGAATCTTTTGGAGACAGAACCTTTGGAATGTTAGGTGAGTAGAATTATTGCACTCTAACTTCCCTTTTTGACCCGAGAAACTTATTAAATTTGCAAAGTACATGTTTTAAATGCCAAAACCAACTTGTGTACTGTTGCTTTTTAGAATGATAAGATGTACTTGTATCAGTTGGCAAATATTTTGATATCAATTTAATTTAATTCCAGCCAAGTTTTGTGAAGTTAAAGAAGTATGTAGAAATAATTAATGAAACTTTCTCCTAAAGTAGAATCTAGAATGGTTGTCTAGCATAGGTTTTTTTGCCTGATCAGATATTGTATCAGTTAAAGTGACCGTAAATATCTACCCTTGAAGAGCTAAAATTTAAACTTTAACTGAATTAAAAATCCCCCCCCCCCCTTGTCCAATTTTCTGTTTATTGATATTCCTGTTCACAGTTCTAATTCTTTCTTTTTTCCCTCTCCTATTTTAATAGTCGGAACAAATACCTAGGAAAATTAATGAAAGATATTTCATTCTTGAGTGTAGTCAAGAAAAAATGTTCCTTTTATCATAATACTACACAATTTTAGATCACAACTTCGGTCTTTTTACTTTACAGAATCAAATGCTGGACTTTCTGGATTTTGGACAAGACCTCACAATTATGTTTGTACAACGTGCGGAAGCCAGTCGCTCAACTTTTGGGATATGGAAGACCACAAGTGGAATTCTCATCCAAATGTGAAATGTTCCCACTATGAGTTCACCGAAAATCATTTACCAGGATGGGAATTCGTAAGTTTTTTATGAAGTTCAATTTTCAAAGCTCAGTTTGTCCCTTTTTTCCTCATGAAAAGTTAAGGTAAAGAGGTAAAAAAAACCCCGGTGTGCAAAATTCATTTTTCGCAACGAAGCATTATCATAAATTTTAATTTTGCATGTAAAATTAAAACCAGTTTGTTTTTGCGATTCCTGCATTTAGCTCATTACTTTTTAAGCTGCAATGAAAAATTCATTTAGTTATGAGCTATTCAGTTACTAAATCCATCTAATTTTCGATTGCATAGAAATTTTCACAATTTTTGGTCCGACTCAATTTTCAGATGAAGTCAGCCTTTTACATCAAGTATGTATAAACACAGGAACTGTTGGGGGGGGGGGGAGGGGTGTATACTGTATCACTTGCTCCTCAGCAAAGGTAAATTAATATTAATGAGTAATATACATATATGCATAAGCATTAATCATAGGTTGTCTTATTAATGTGTTGCTAATGTTGATAAATGTGACTGAATCTGTGAAAAAGGAGCCTCCAGGAAAAAATTTTCCCCTAAAAAAAGCTTCAACCTTGTTTTTCTACAATTTTGGAATTTTAGTCTCGGAAATTCAAGTTTTCCGGGTCAAAATTATGCTCATAGTTCCAGATTTTCTTTCTCCATGCGTTTCGACAAGGTATGGAAAATTTCCTCCTGGAAAATAAGGTCCTTTTTCACAGATCTTGTCACAAGTGTCTGGTTATTCTTAAAAAAAAAAAAAAAAAAAATTCCTCTCTTGTTCTTTTTGTATTAGAGTATTTTAATATTTTGTATTTCTTTGTTTGCTCGAAAATAGTTTACCTCACGAACATTCACCTCAGAAGACATAGACGCAATTGAGCCTAATGTCGATCTGGAAGTGCCTTCAGCAACAAATCGATCTCGATGTTCCAAATGCAAAAAAACTTGCAGCTCAACTTTGGAGCTTCACCGGCATATGCTTGAGTGCGGTCTGGATACGACGTGGATGTTAACACTCATGCCGAGCCCCACCAAGAAACAAAAGGAAAAAAAGTAATTTCTAAATTGATCATCTCACTTTTTTTTGTGAAAGACTGTCTATGGTCATTCATTGAAAGCCTCTTACAAGCTACGTAAAAAGTTGTGGGAAGAGGAAGGGATCTCAAACTGGATCGACACTTTGTTTTGCTGCTGAAGAAAAGATTTATAGTAATGTTGTTGTGCTGATTACGTTTTTATAAATGTATCTGTATATCAAGAACACTGTGCTAAATAATGCACCAAGTTGTACCAAAACTTGTTCAGGTTATTTTATATGAGAATATTTGAATTGTTCAAAGAAACAGCTACAACAATAAAAAATTTGTACCTTGAGGATTTAATAGTACCTTAACTTTTCTGATCCATTTACAGGTTACAGAGTTATTGATCTAGTTCGGATTTAGAATCATCATGTAATATATTACAAAGTAAAATAAAAGCTTCATGGATTTGTCATGAATCTAACTTCTTAATTGACTTTCAAGGAAATTATTGTTTAATACATGTCAATAAATTATTTTTGCCATCAGATGGGTTTGTATTGCTTTACTATGAATTTGGGTCTATTTCTAGGAAATGGAGACCATTTGGCAGTCGGCGAAGAAGAATGAGCAGAGTTCGTGGCTTTAAACGGAACATACCTAACTCTCCAATGAAAATCATTTTACCACCCAAAGTGCCACTCGGAAAATCCAAATCTGGTGACAGTGAGTATTCTTATTTTCAGGGTTTTTTTTTTAGAATTTCCAAGTTCATCAGAGCCAAGAGAATATGATTCAGTTTAATCAGTCTATTCTTCCCTAAAATATTTCCCTTAGAAACCCTGCACACCCTTGGGGGCTTGGTGGCTCCCGGCACATTTCAATGAAACTTGAATTGAAATTCATCCTTAGCGAAAAGCCAAAAATTAGGCGATCCATTGGTTTAGGAGCCAACATATTTGGAATCGAATATGCCAATTGTAGTACACTTTTGCCTCAACGTTATACCCAGTTAGGTGCTCGCAGGCTTGGCTGGTACAAAACCCCTGGACCCTTTACCTCTCCGTGTATTTATCCAGACAGTTTCAGATTTGACTGGTACAGCGAAGAGCTTGTCTCAGCATCCTATTATCTAATGGAAGGTGTCATGTTGCACTGCTTGCTCTTCTCAATCTTTATCTGTTTTCCCATCCTTCCTGATTCAGTTTCTGCAATCCCTCTTAAATAGGCATTTCCCCGCCAAATATCTTGACCCCATCATCTCCAAAACGCCTAATTTTTGGCTTTGTGCTGATGATGAACTTTATGTCAACCTATTAAAGTTTCATCAAATTGTTCGAAAAGCCACAGGTGTGCAGGATTCTTTTTAAGCTATTCAGCCATCTTATGGACAAAAAAACATGAAGTTCAGAAAATGAACTGGAGAAGTAAATACATAAAATTCTCAAAAATGAAGAAATCTTTTTTATTCTAATTACTCTACTATTGTTTTTAATTAGTTTGTTTTTATTTAGTCTTTGATTTTTGTTTTTCTAGCTGAAACCATTCAAAAGATGATAGCTAACTTGCCAGCAAAGAGGGCCACCAGGCGCGTTGTTATTTTCGATAACCCAAGTCGAGCGGGCCAAGCAACTATCAATTGTGTAAGTGGTTCTCACTTTATTTCAGTTTCTGTTCTCGAAAATTACCTCATAAGTTTGCCTTTTATTAGTGAAAACATATCTTGTGTAAGGAAGGTTTCAAGTTTCAGTTTATATTCGTATAATTAAAGATATGCATACCTGCTTTTAAACCTCAACAATCTTCTTCACCAGGAATTGATTTTTTCCAAATGACTCAAGTGTCAAAGAAACTTACTTACATAAGAAGCATTTTCACTCCAAAGCGTCTGAAATGAAATGTGGTGAGCCTGAAAATATTTTCTGTCGGATGGATAATGTCAAAAAGAATCAGTAGACAAGGAATTCTATCATAGCTCCCCGTAAATTACTGCAATAACAAACAACGGCCAGATATTGATTAGGAACAAACGCTATAGTTTGAAGGATAAAAGCATGACGAATAACAGTGGCAACTCTTTGCAGAGGATGATGGGCAGTTGCCTGTAAAAACATATGTCCATCCAATAATTAATCACAAAAGGTAAAATAATGTGAGGACTTAATACTCAGTTCTTACCTCAGATTTAATATAATTGTCTTCAAACTGTGTGCAGTTGAATACAAACACTAATAATGTGTCTGCAGGAGCTTTGGTTCCCAACAATCTTAACAAATGAAAGCTTTTCATGAAAATATCAAATACATGCTCGATTTTTTTAAATCATGTTTCAGAAGATGAAATTTAGAGGTTTAATTTAGTATTTTACAATTAATTACTCACTTACGTCATTATTTTGACACTGGAAGAAAAAAATTAGTGTGAAGTTTAAAAGTACTTATTTTAAAGGTGAATATTTTTACCTCAGCACAGGGCTAACTTACCCTAACTTAAGTCGGATGGACTGGAAAGTCCTCAAAGCTTAGAATTTACCACAATAGTGGTTCTCTCACTAAGAAAGAGATTCATTTGTGTAATCTGATTTAACAAAATTCGCTAGGATTGAAAAATTTCCTCATTTCTTTAAATTCAGTGGTTTTATTCACTTCTTTGGATTTAATTTAATTGATGTTTATTACCATTTATTGCATCAGAATTACTCCTTAAGGAATAAGTCGAAGGTAATCAAAAAGTCATCATTCATTCTTAAGCACGTCGTTACGTTATTATCATTTGCTCGTTTATTGTTCCTTTCTCATCAATTTTTGTCCCTTTTGCTTAAAATTAAATACTTAAATTTATCATTTCTTTTTTGGTCTACTTTAAGCCCCTAATTTCATCATGAGAAAGCTTTTTAGTGTATTTTTCGAAGTTCTTTTTCTGTATATTTCTTTTCTAAGTCCTAGCGATCCAAGGAAAGGTGTGTGATTAATGTATAATTTTTAGGTGAATTAATTTATATAGTTTCATATACCCAGCTCAAAAATTGGTGCAATTAGCAAACTATAGTACTTACTCTCCAAGTGCACTCTCCAAAATACTAAAATAACCCCTTTTTGGGGTCCTCTCCCCCTCAAGGAAAGTTCTTTTTCTTCGCTAATTTATTTATTTTTTTTTTTAAGGAAGGGGGATAGTTTGAGAAAATATCACTGAAAAATATCACATAGAAAATAAAGGAAGAAGTTTTGGTTTTGATGTTAACATTTTAATTTCAAGAAAATATTAAACTTGAAGGAGAATAAATTATATGCAGCAACACAACAAGTAGCTAATCATAAATTGAAATGAAAACATTTATCTGTCAGCTTGCGAGCTTTTTTTGTCTTGCAGCCATAATACTCATTTCTATTCAATCGAAACAACATAATCGCACATCACTACTCTCACGCAATGGAAGGTTTCCATTTTTTTTTTTTATCTAATTGGAGCTAAAAAGTTTCATCAATATTGTACCTCTTCACATTTTTTTTCTGTCATCAGTGTCAATTATTTTTGTATTGTGTTGTCCCCTAGTCTAATTCCCGTTACTTCATTTTGTGTATAAATTCATATGATCAAGCAATAACTCAAAATCAAGAACTTGCATTATGTGAAAGTTACTTTTTTCTGTTCAGCTCTCGCTAACCATTAAGAATCGTTGTCAAACATTTTCTCATTCCGTCCGTGTTAGTTAATTCACCTAACAATGTTCAAAGGTGTTGTTCAAATGTTTCTTGCTCATTTTGACAAACTAATAATGTCCTCTGAAATTTCCTGATTTAGATTTTTGAAAGCAGGAATATTTTTTTAAATGATTATCATAGATTCTTTGATCAACTTAACTCAATTGTCTCGTGGTAGACCTTTTGGAGATTGTTTGTCTCTTTCTAAACAGTGAGACCTGTTTATTGAAAAATGTTTCGGTATTGCAATAACAATAGGCTGATGAATCATTTTCCCGTGCTTTTTTTTCTTGTTATAATTTTGTTTTGTCCGTTGAAAATGAGATCATGAAATACTTTAAAACATTCTGGTTTTTGTTTGATGCTTGTTTTAAAGTCCTTCTTGGGTTAAGTTGTAACCCCTCCTCCCCCGCCCACTAAATTAGCCAAGACTACAGATCAAGATCATGCTGGCTCCTCTTTCGCTTGATTCAACAATTTTAAATTTTGAATCAGATCTTTTAAAATTTGAAGCATTATTAATCACTCCTTGTTTTCTTCTTTTCTTGTGTGTAACTTTAGTTCAACGTTGTAGTTTTAAGACTTTTAATATGAATTTTGGAATTAGAAAAGTATAATTCAAATGAAAACCTTTACTAATGTTTCTTTGGCAAATTTAATTCAATTCTTTTTCCTTAATACCGAAGGATCATGCAAACTTCAATACATTTTTGGTGAAGCAACGTTGCATGAAGTATATCGTTCTCAGCCAAATTAGCGTCATACTTATTTCTGATTTTAAAATTTCCTCTATCACAACTTATTGCACGCATTTTATTGATTGTTTCAGGTACCAATCACCAGCTTGAATTGGAATAATAACTCTTACGAAGATGGACTGATTGAAAATCTTCTTAAAAATGATCAGCAAAGTGTACCATCAGAATCTCCCTTGTTGAGCGCCTCCGCCGACTCTATCAATCTAAATATGGCAGGCAAAGACTGCAAGGAGGCAATTTCCTCTCCAGCTGATCTCCTCTCCAACTCATCCTCAAGAACAAGAATAGTTCCAATATGGCCCCCTGCTGAACAATCAGACGTCCTCACGAGTCTTCGAATGATGCCCATACCGCAAATACCAATGGTTGTAGAGGCAGCGCACCCTGTAACCCTTCAGAAACCTTCTGAACCGGATATGAAGCCTGTGCTTGAAACTGTGAAGCCCGTAAAACAATTGAAGCCAGCCAAAACCACTAAACATCTTAGATCTCTGGTTAGGCAGCTGAGTGCATCATCTTTGGAGTCGTCCTCAGAATCAAATAAAAAACCTTCAATTCATTCGGAGAAGACCTCAAATGGCAGCAGCAGATCCACCTCCCCGGGTGTCAATGAACCCACTGCCAAAGTAAGCGGACTTATTCTTGAGAAAGCATCAAATAAGACATCCAGTATGCCAAGTTCTCCGTCTAAAGTCACTTTGGCTCTGTCAAAATTTTCTGTCAAAAAACCAAGTGATCTGGCAACAGAGAAATCAACGATCCTCGATGCCATGCGCATTGCAATGGCAACCGTAAATCCTGAATTTACAGGAAAGTCCCTCCTTCTCAAGTCAGGGAAAGGTAACGTGCTAAAGAAATCACTAAGTGAATCTCTCCTATCAAGCAGCAACATTTTGAGAACTGAAACTGTCTGTGATAATAACCCCCTCTCTTGTGTTGACTGCAGCAAAGTTTTTAAGAACAGGGCCTTGCTTAGAAGGCATATGAGTAGGTGTCCTGTCTCGAAACGTATCAGAAGCTTAAATAGCACTCCAAATCTGACTCCTGGTGTTAGTCCAACACCTGGAGAGATAGAATCTCTTATCTCTAGTCCTGTGATCACTCCGCCCAAAGGGCAGTTACCAGCCTCAACTGAAATATCACAGATTCCATCAAAGCGTGATACCAGAACACATCCTCTGGAAAGCACAATTAAATCACCCAGCCTCAGGTCCAGGAAACCCGCTAAAGATAATACTTTGCCTCTTAACTCCGAAGGTAGAGAAAAAATATCAAAGGTCCTCAGGAGTAGAACTCGGAAGACAATATCAGATCTGCCTCCTCCAGAGGCAAGTGAAGAGTTGATTCTGGATGAAGTTACTGGTGAACTGGTCCCGGTTGATCGGCCACCCAAATTAAAGGTGAAAGTATCCATAATGACCAGGAGTGAAAGATCGAACTATGTAAGCCCTAAAGTGAAGAGCTCCAGTGCCACTGAAACGGAACCACAAGTTTTAACCCCCAAGGCTAGTAGAGAAGATATTACAAATGTTGTTAACAATGATGGCTCCAAAATGTTGGATGCTGCCATGAATGCCAACATTATCTCTGCAACCTACACAAATGGAATGTTTTCTGACAGTGATACAGACAGTACGCCCCTAGTGCAGCTCAAAGAAATTCTAAGCGCCGCCAATAAAACTGGAGAAAAACCCCAGAAAAAAGTTCTCGTTAAAAAGAAAAAAGTGTTCCGAAAGAGGAGAACAAAAGCTGCTAAAAAGAAGAGGCTCCCAAGCAGAGGAGCCTCTGAGCAAATCAAATATCCAGGTAAAATAGTAGTTCTTTCCTCATCAGATAGTAAAGAGTCAATTCAGCCTTTAGGAAGTTTGATCACTGATAAAAACGAGATAGTTACTTCCAGTGAAAATGTCCCAATAAGATCGAAGAAATCGAACTCCTTGAAGATGCAGCAGCGTGCAGCTCCAAATTCTAAGAAAAGAATCCTACGGAAAAGAAAATGTAATAGCGAACTTGAGAATGCTAGTGAGTCAGTAAAAATTGTTGACGAAGTTCCAGCAAGTACCGAAGCCTTGTCTCGACAAGAAGATGAAATAAAAGAGGAACCTAACCTTGATGAAAGTTTCAAATTGTATATAAGTGAGGAAGATGTTGAAGCTAAAGAAGAATTAGAACTCTCCACTGCTGGTCCATCAGTTGATGATAAAAAAGAATCACTGGATGTAATAGACTCAGTAAGTAATCATGATGAAATGCTTGATGCTGATGTTTCGAAGCTAGATACCCTCAGTGATGCCAAGTCCACTTCAAGCATTGATGAAGGTCCTTCAAAACCAAAACGCAAGAGGCGCTCAGCATACAATTTGCTGTTCACAAGCTTGAAACAGGAAGACATGAATGAGCTTTTAACAACTATCCAAGCTGATCGTCAGAATTTAAAGCGAAAATGCACCATGGTCGATTCGCTGCCAGCCATTGATAAGAAAGTGAAAAGGTCTGGAAGTAAATCGGACGATGAAAGTGTGGACAAACTGTGTCATGAAGAAGCTGTTTCACAGTCTAATAATTCAGACTTGGCAACTGCAAATTCTGAGGATATCACTGATACCGCCAACACCAAAGTAGAATCTAATTCTGATAGGAAGGATAAGCCTTCTTTGATGATGAAAAAATCAAAACTGCGGAAAGGTGGAGGTAAGTTAACAACAGATAACACTCTGTCCTCTAGCGTTGACGCTTCTGCCAAGGTTGATGATCCTGTCGTATTGGAAACTCCTTCTGGGACCATTGACTCAGAGGGAGTGCAACTTGGACTCAGCTCGGGAGAAAAATCTGCAACGCTGAAGGGGAGAAGTTTAAAGAAGAATCCACGAAGCAGAGCAACCAGAGTCCCAGAAACGGTGAAATCTCAACGGCAAACTCTTTTAGACGAGTTTGTAGAGGCAGATACTCCCAGTTCCAGTGAGATATCTGCAGGCTCAGCCTCAGGATCAATCAACACTTCCAGTATTAAAACAAGACCAAAACCCAGTTCCAATGTTACCAAATCTTTTGTTCCACCCTCCGATGTCCAGATATCCTCAACTCGCAAGAACAAAAATCAGAAAATAGACCTGAACAACCCCAAAACAAACTTAGGTTCATCTGAAGAGAAGAACCTGGAAGAAAGAGTTTTATCCAGAAGCGCATCAAAGCTGAGAAGTGCTGTTGAGGCAAAAAATTTAAAAATGGATGAAGTCGCGGTAGATATTCCTGAAGTTGAAGCAGTTGGATCGTTAGTTAGTTCCAGGACAAGGGCCAGAAAATTGAATCCCAAAATGGCAAGCATTGTACCTGCAACTGAATCGTTTGAAAACGAACTTGATCCAGCTACAGAAGAGGTAGCACCTAGAAACACCTCTGCTGACTCATCAGTTAATGAAGATAGTGTTGTTAGATCCAAGACAGGTCTCTCAAAATCAAAAAACGTTCCTATCAACGCTAAAACTGTAAATGTTGAGCCAGGCAAAAAAGAAGAGCCTAAGACTTCAGTCAATACCAAGAAGAGGAAACAACTCAAAAGAGGCATTGGTAAAGATTTGTTGTCAGAGGCAACATCAGACGATGATAATATACCTTTGTCCAGCCTAAGTGCGGAGAAAATAGCCTCCAGCCTTTCCACTAAGGTGGAGGACGCTGAGCTTTCTGACATCGATCAAGTTTTGATGAAACGGTGTCAGGAACCATCTGCAAGTTCTCTAGATCTGGTAAACACTGATAATTTAGCTGACTTTGACAAGAGTGAGGAAAATCCAGGCGGAAATTCTCAATCTTTGCTCAAAGTTAAAAGTAAGTCCAAGAATCTGAAAAGAAAAAGACGAAAAGAGTTTGGTCATGTGAACTCACTTAACAATGTAGACTCTCCAATGACTTCAGATAGTGAAGGATCAATTTTACGTGTACACAAGAAACAGCCTAAGGGGAAAAAATCTGCTTTGGCCAATGAAGTTAGCTGTGCGTTGGCAGAGAATGATCTCCTCATTAACAGTGCAAACCTTCGGAAAAAACTCGCCAAACTGAAAACAACCAAGGATCTGAAAAAAGTCCTAAGTTTGATACAGAAAGGAGGGACTGCAGAAACTGATAATGAAGCGTGTGATGAGACGCTGATGGAAAATTCCCAGAGTAATGATCCTCTTTTTGGCAGTGTCATCCAAAGAAAAAAGAAATTGAAGAAAAAGAAACTAAAAAAGAGGAAAAAGAAAAATTTTAAGGACAAAGATCTAGTCAATGTATTGGTCCAAACAGTCGCCAAAACAGCAAACAAACTTCTCACCAAAAAGTCAGCTGAGCAGCTCCGCAAAAAACAACTCAAACTACAAAGGAAAAAAGCTTTGGAAAAATTGTCACACGCCAATAATGCCTGGCAAATTTCCATTGTCAACCCTGAAACAAAAGAAACTTCAACTACAGAAATTCCTGATTCATCAAACGATTTAGAAGTGAAGAAAGGAGAAGAGCTCAAGGCATTAGAGGAACCCGGCGACATTGATTCCGACAATAGCAGTGTTAACCTAAGTAAATCGAAAGGCCACTTATACTGTTCCGTCTGTGATAAAAGTTTTCTTAGTGCAATGAACTATAACAAGCATTTTACTACATGGAGGCATATGTTTCATGAGAAACTTGACTCTCAACAGCAGGATAGCGATTCGCCAAAAATCAGTGTCAATAGCTCCTCAGTGGAAACTAATAGTGTGTCGAGTAACACCAGTATATCAACTTCCAGTAACACTAGTATATCAACTTGTGTGAGCAACATAAGTTTGAGCTCTTTGAAAAGCAAACTGAATGCTGCAACTAAATGCGATGAAACACTATCTGTGACAACAGAGACTTCATCATCAGTGTCCACCCCTCCTACAGTCCCTCAAGACCCTGCGAGCACTGCAATAAAAACGGTAGCTCTACTGTCAGAAGTGGAGTCTAGTAAAGAGCCACAGTGGACCCAGCCTAGTTGGCAAATGAATCCAGCGCCAGATGTGTCAGTCAATAACTGGTATGAATCTGCATGGCCAAAAACTACCTCGTATGAGTCTATCAGTCTTGGATCAATATTGGATTCAGTAAACCAGGTAAGAGTCGCAGTTCCATCCTTACTGAGCTTGATAGAAAAGCTTCTACTAGGGCTGCCACAGTCAGGGAATAATGGGAATTGTCAGGGCAAATTATGAAATTGTCGAAAGTGTCAGGGAAAAATTGTCAAATCAAGGCCCCTGCGCTTGGCTTTTCAATTAAATGATATTGCTCTTTTTCTGTGATGCAGTTTCAAATTCTGTACCAAAACACCGACATACTCCCTTCTAGTTAGCCACAAAACCATAGACTGGAGATTAATTCATCCCAGGAGATGACAACACAGCAACAAAACTGAAGCATGTAGAAGTTCTATTTGAAATTCAAAACACTTATTAATGAATACTTAACTTTGTTTTTAACAAAATAGATGTGGATTTAAGTTTGAGAGTCAAAATTTGGGGCTATAGTGTAGATCTAGGTGAATTCATCCCAACATCAGTACTGTTCCATGAGATTTTTTATGATGCAGTATTCTCTCTCTCGCTCTCTTTATGATGAATCGGTACCAGACTGAAAATTCCTTTGTTATAGAGAAATTTTCACTTGAAATAGGTGCTCTTTTGGAAAGAGAGTCCTGTATTACCTTTGCAAATACTTTTCTCTACAAGAAATCACTGATTTCAGATACTTTCCGACCCCTCAAGTGCGGACCCTCACTCGTATCCTATAAATCAGTACAGCCTCGCAGACCTACAGCACGCAATATGTGCCAGCGATGAAGAGATGGCAATACTGCAGCACTGGGGTGAAAATTGTCAGACACTGAGTGAGCCGGAGTATGTATATGATAATTCTGCAGTGCAGCAACCCAGCCATCCCCCTGCATTCAACGAATGGTCTTGTGAATCAGCGGATCTTATTGATTTGGATAATCAAAATTCCTGGTCCAAAAAACCAACTGTAAGTTTCCAAAATTTCCTCACCTTACCTTGTTTTTTTCCCTAGACATGATAAAAAGGACTGTGTATAATGGAACTTTTTCTTCATTGTAATTACCATCCTTAATCTTACGCAGATCCTGTAAATAATTTTTTTACTCAATAATTTAGGTAACATAATGTACTCGTGAAACTATTAAAACTTTGCCATTTTTTAAAACTCGCAAGATCGTAAAAAAGTGCGAAAAGGTCAAAGAATCAACTTTTTTGCATGTGATGGAGGCTCTTGTGCAGAAAGTTCTTAAAGTACATAAACTTCTTTGCTGAATTGTCATTAATTTTGGAGTCTCTTCCACAAAGGAGATCATTTGTTTCTAATGCCAGAAGATCAATTTATTTTTCTCCACATATCCTAGTTTTTAGTCCTTTTGACCGGGAAGTAAAATGTGTACCTCTGATTTCTATCAACTGAGAGACAATTATCTAGCGTTTGTTTTTGTAAGAGTAACCATATTGACTTTCTGGAAGCTCCGTTAGCTACTGGAGTTTTTGGAGCTAGCAAAAATAAGTTTTTGTCATTCACACAAGTTTTATCAACCAAACAATCCAACAGATAGACTTATGAGGCTGCAATGCTTTGACTCGGTGCTTGTGCAGCTCTGATAAAGCTGTCCATTTCCGACAAGAGCATCCTTATCAGAGTGTATTGGTATTTTGAAGCAAGTGGTATCCATAGCTTAGTCATGAGGATTTGATTGAACACCTTTATATTTGTGCACCTTTTAATTAATCTCACTTTTTCGTGGAAGTCGTCTCTAAAATGAAATTATCAGAAGACAAGAATATAAAAGCTAGTCATTGATTTTCTCTTGTATACAAGCTCTACATTTAATTTTTTTCTTTTTTTAGGCTACCGTTGCAAACTCGAGTGACAACCAGAAATCTAGTCACTCAGGGAAAGTCACCCTCAAACCAAAACCGAACAAGCTAGAATTAAAATATTATGAAGACTTTGAAATGACCTGTCCAACTCCCTCCTGCTCTAAGAGATTTCATGGAATCTCTGCCCTCCGCAAGCATATCAGTTGGGCCCACAGTAATAACAAGAAAGCCATTGCATGTAAGTAGCACAACGCAATCAATGTTACGAATTTATTTTTGAAAAAACTTGTCAGTGGTATCTTTGCACTTGTTGTAAAGAATAGGAAATCTGCCTCTAACTCTCGACAGCTTCGATCTAAAACGTACGTTTTCAAAGCAAAAAGTCGGTAAAGTAGCACATAAATTATGGAGAAACGATATACTGTGCCGCTGAATGGCCTTCTGTGTCAGCTGAATTCTCAGTCATTTTCGTCAAGTTTCTCCCAGTCTAGAACCAAGAATGCCAAAACGGAAACTTCAAACCGCCACAGCTCTGATTAAATTCGATACTTTTAGACTATTTTTGTCGTAATATACTGGGATATCATAAATTCAATCTTGAGTTTTCATAGACTAAGATCCTTTTTCTGGTGATTCAAAAATTTTATGCTCAGGTCTTACAGTGTGGAGAAAAGAGGTTTTAACCCAATAGTGCCATTAACATGCATCTGTGAAAATGATCAATTACCTCCTCCTTGACTAAACAGCCAAGTTTTGTGTCTGTTTTAAATTTTTTTTTTTTTTTTTTTTTTTTTTGTTTTGTTTTTTGTTTTTAAATATTCGTGTTTTTAATGGTCTGTCACACAAAATAGATACAGTCAAGTGGGTAGACTACCTGCAGGCACAACTGCACAAAAATCTGTTGGGCACATCGAAAAAGTCTGAAATATATTCCTTAAAGCCTAATCTGCGCTGTTTGTATGTAACACACATTTTTCATATTTGCAGGCAGTTTTTCTTACTGGCCGGCAGTAAGGTTTGCCCAGAGAGAAACTTTAGAAAACCAAACATAACTAATCAAACAATCTTGCAAACTATTCAGAACTTTCATAATTTAAAATTTCAATTGATTGAAAGCTTATGTTTTTGCAAAACAAACAGAGGGAAAGAAAACAAATGCTTGAAAATTATCAAAATCATATAATAGAAAAATTTTGCAAAAATGTTCGTATATTCAAGTCAGGTTTTCTCACTCCTCTATCTGTTTAAACTTGGTCACTGGCGGCTACAAACAACTGCCTACAAACAGAAAACTTGATAAGCGTGTTACAAAGTGTGCAGATTGTGCGCTAAGGAATAGATATCTGACTTTCTTATGTGCCCATCTTGATTTTGTGCAATTTTATCTGTGGGCAGTCTATTTACTTGGTTGTATCCCTTGTGTGCATTCGACTCATGAAGCTTCATTTGGTCTTACTTCACAAGTGTAATCAATTGAAAATAGCGATCCGTTGAGGATTGCATCATACTTTTGTTTCTGTCTTCCTTCATTAAATGTAGAAACATTTCATAATTCTCAGTTTTCCGTTAAGTCCTCATGTAACTTAAACGTTTCTTTTGTCCTGTTAGACTGCAACCCCAAAACTGATCTGCTAACAACGTGCATGACCAGTCAGACTGTGGCCAAGAATCTTGTGTGTTTTGTCTGCAAGGAGATATGTAGCTCTAAAACGATGTTAGATTCTCATGTCAGCACATCTCACGTACGAAAGAAACCTACAGAACTTGTTCCTGGATCATCTAAAACTCCTTTGAGGTAATTGAACAGCTAATTTGAAGAAATAAAAAATCAATTCAAACTGTTGAAAACCTTTAACTCACTTTTAGAACTATTTTTTCAAATAGTTGGTCTGAGCGACAGATCCCCATGCTCAATGAAGTAGCTTGATCCTGATATTCTGGTATTTGCCAGTGTCCGAAGCTGTATAACCTAATTGCCTATGTGCAAATTTACTTGAAGCAAACCGGTTTTAAATAAGGTCACTAAGCCAAACCCGTCGTCCATTCTTTGCTACCGATCTCTCAAAGTTCAAAAGTCTATTTTCTAAGAAATGCATTTTTTTAATTCCTATCTGTGGGTTTGTGTGTAAAAATTTACTCCAAAATATCCAATTGATTTCATTGGTTGGAGCTCACTCTCTTAAATTATATTTTTTCTGACTACTTTATGTATATTAAAGCTTAATAAGGAATCTCAGTCCCTGCTCAGCCAAAACAGTCAGTCACCTGTTGCACATCAACTCAAAATCGCATTTTACTCTTTCTGTATTATTCTCTCTTATCTCTTAATTCTTAAATTTTTATGTTGCAGTGAGGGAGCAGAGAAGCTGAAAAGTAAGATGTCCAGTGCCTTTGGCGGTTTATTAGACCGAGCCTTAAACAATTTGAAACTAAATCCACAGAAAGTGCAATCAGAATCAGGAGAGTCCTCGAAACCTCCAGTTCTCCCTGCGTAAGTTTTTTAAAATTTTATTTCCATTTTCAAGCTTTTTTTTGCAAAGCAAAGGACTACGTGCAAAATGGGCCATTTGGGGCTCGGGGCGGATACCTTCGAGACTTGCCCTATTCATTCACCTAACAATTCCCCATCTTTTCCTAAAGTTTCAAGCCTCCCAAAAATTTTGGGGAGACGCGGCGGGGGGTCAAAGTTAAAAACCGGCAAAATTTTTGCAAATTTATTTCTCGAAAACCAAGAAGTTTTGGAAAACGTGGTTTAAACGAGCGTATTCAGCGTGATGAGAGCTTTCAGAAAATGTGTAACATCATACGGTTTTGTCAACTTTAGCTCGAGTTATCGCCTTCGAAGCGCCAGAACGCTCAAAAAAGACCCCTTATTTTCTCACGTTTGGGCCGATTTGAGAAAAAGCCATTTTTTTATTTTGATGAAAAATTGATATGTTGTTCCCGACTCTCTGTAGCTTCTTTAGCTTTTTACCGCATGCTGGGGAAATGTTTTGGTCGCGAGTTATAAGAGCGGAAAAGAGCGAAGGTCGGGAAAATCAGCTATTTTAAACTGCGCGCGGCGACGGATCAGGAGACATGTGGCAACAATGCGAGGTCGGCAGAGGAGTGTGATTCGCCAAACTGAGTGGGAGGGGAAGTTTTCCTTCCGATCAAGCCGCTCGGGCAGTTTAAAATAGCAGATTTTCCCGACCTTCGCTCCTTTTCCCTCTTATAACTCACTACCAAAACCATTTCCCCAGCATGCGGTGAAGAGCTAGAGGGGCTACAGAGAGTCGGGAACAAATATCAGTTTTTCATCTAAATCAAAAAATGGCTTTCTCTTAAATCGGCCCAAACGTGAGAAAATAAGGGGTCTTTTTTGAGCGTTCCGGTGCTTCGGAGGCGATAACTCGAGCTGAAGTTGACAAGACCCTATGATGTCAAACATTTTCTGAAAGCTCTCCTCACGCTGAACACGCTCGCTTAAACCGTGTTTTCCAAAACTTCTTGGTTTTCGAGAAATAAATTTGCGAAAATTTTGCCCGTTTTTAACTTTGACCCCCCACCGCGTCTCCCCAAAATTTTTGGGGGGCTTGAAACTTTGGGAAAAGATGGGGCACGGTTAGGTGAATGAATAGGGCAAGTCTCAAAGGTATCCGCCCCGAGCCCCAAATGGCCCATTTTGCACGCAGTCCTTTTGTAGTTCCCTTTGTAATTTAGCAGTCAGTCTTTGTAAAAAACTGCCAAAACCAAATAAAGATATTGAAGACAATAGGGCATTCCTCAACAACGCCAACAATCTATTAATTACCGAAGCCTGTTCTACAATAGAATAGTAGATGAATTTTTGACTAGTTACCTTACTCTTATAAATTTAGATAAACCCTCCAACATGTACCATAATGATGTTAATTGTTTTAATGTCAATTTATTCTAAATAAAATAAATATAAAATCAGTCTTCCCTGCAGGTAGCATATTTCATTTACATAAAGTGCAGTCAAACCTCACCAAATGGGGGCCTGCTTAATTTGGAAACCCTGCTAACTCGTTAATAATGGCTTCGTCCGGTTTATTTGTTTTGCCAAGACAGAGTCTGTTTAACTCAGGAACCCTCCTGAGTCAGAATGAACTTTTGGTCCCAATGCATTCCGACTCAGTGAGGTTTCACTGTATTACAATATGCTCACCATCTTTGCCTTCTTTCAACAGAATTTCTAATGAAACCCTCAAGTTGCTTGGTCAATTGAAAGAGAAGCGACGATTGGAAACTGCAGAAAGCAAGACCCTCACGTCCAATCTTGCCCACGAGCTGCGTAATATGCTGAGTCGTAAAAGAGATGACTCGCCCACCACCTCTGAGATAGCCTTTTCCCGAAGGAGCAGCATCGACTCAGATGCTGAAGTATCATCAACAACAGTAAAAACTGATTATAGGCGACCATTTGGATGCCCTCTTTGTTCTATGACGTAAGTTTGTGCTTGTTTTACATTCATTATCATACTTTACTTTATTAGTTCGTTGAAAACAATTAGAGCAGGGATATGAGAGGGTGTCTTCAGGTATTATAATCATATTCAGTCTTATAATGTTTCCATATTTTCATTTTGGTCTTATAGTTTTTAAAAAGTTACTTAAAATTGTCATATCTTTGTTTCATCATTCGATTGTTGAGTCACAATTCTTGGTCTCGCAGCCAACTTTGTTATAAAGCTGCATAAAGTGTTCTAAATCTCTATTCATTATTTGGTTCAAGAGTACATTGTAGTAAATAGTAGCGTGATCGGTATTTTCATGAGGACCTATTTATCAGATTCATCAAAAAAGAACCATGCAGGGGATGCCGAATTTTTTCATATTCTTTGCAGGGTCCTTTCTAGCTATGTAATATGTTAACCTCCAATGTTTTGTTTTCAGCTTTGCCTCCTCTGTGGAGCGAAATCGGCATCTAACTGTCAATCATGGACCAAGACACAGGACAGTTGCACCCGAACCAACACCTGCAAAAGCTTGTAAGTTCTACCTTGTTTCATTTTTGCAACTTTCAAGCATTTTATTCACACCTCATTAGTCTAACACTAAGCCTTTCATTACCAAGCTAGATTTTGTGTATGCATGCCTCATATTGGAGATGCTAGTTGTCATGAAAATCAAACAGAGTGCATTTTGTTCGGGAAAGGCTACAGTTGTAGATCAGATCCTCCTCACCAGATAGAGCCACTAATTTGAATACCTCTGAGGGGGTAATACTTCAGAGGCTGTGAAATATTGGTGGAAATGCTGCGGGTAGGATACAGTTATGCTAAACGCAGATACTGCATTCATGGTAATGAAAGGGTTAAACATTGTATTTGTCCATAGATTCAGCTTCAGTTAATGAAGAAGATCTGTGTGGAGAGTGAATTAGGACTTTTTTCGTTTTGACAAATAATCTCCATAGTAAAGTAAAACATGAGACGAGTCTCAGTTTTTTTCTACATTTTGTCACACATGCTGACAGTTCTTCGATGTGTTGCGCATTCTGATGATTTTTTGCGGAATCTATTGGGTGCTTATGTGTGATTGCATTTTTCCATGGGTTTGAATGAACTTTGTTCAGGACGCATTTTGTGTATTGACCCTCAGAAGGCACACTGAAAAATATTTGGATGGTGTGTCCTTAAGTTTCAGTATTCTTCAGGACTTTAAGTGTTGTTTTTTAAGTAATATCATGGGAGTGATTTAATTTTAATTACCATACTTTTCAAACAAGTAAACTATATTAGCTAATTTTTCAGCGGCATAGCAGGGATGATCTTTTATCGACTATTCCTATTTGAAGCTGTAGTAAAGAATTTATTATTAAGGTGTTCGTTGCGACTACCCTGTTCATCTATCCTTTGCCGTAGATTTAAATGGCAGATCAATCAATATATTGCAAAGCATGCCACGCCACTGAATTTTTTTCGAATTTTCAACAGAATTCGTGACAATGAAGAGCTTTCATTAATGCCAAAAAAGTTCTGTTTGAGGTTTGGGTTCAGGAACCTTGTATTGGTATAGAATACAAATTGAACGTCCGCACAGTCCTATTTTTCTGTGTTCTTTCCTCAAAACATATTTGTAGCATGTGAGAACTAATTTTCATTTTCCTTGTTTCAGTGGAAGCGCCACCCGAGCCTGATGTGTGCCCTGCTCCAGAAAGGAAATCTATACCTAAAGAATGTACAAATTCAAAAATAAATCGCAGTAAACAACTGGCTCTAGATTGGAAGGTGGAGATGGAAACAAATGCTTATGAAATGCAATGTGACAACTGTAACACGACCATTAATTGTCCCACTATTGATAACCCATCCTTAGAAAGCCCAAAACCCAAGAAACCAACAAAGCGCATTACTGGGAAGAAGAATATTTCTGAAAAAGAATCTGCCGCATCTACATCAAGTGTTTTGGACTGCTCAAATATGCACACCGGTGAAGTATTAGGCTCGAATGGTTCCACGTCAAAATCAAGAGGCTCCAAAGTTTTACCCAAGAAATTGTCAAAACCGAAAACCGAAGCCCTCGAAGATGAATTAGAGATTAAAAAAGCCAAAGAAGAAGAAAAAATTAAACGCCAGAACGATGCATTTGATCTACTACTCGGCAAGAAACCAAGCAAAGGAAGCTCCGCAAGGAAACCCAAACCCAAAACAAAGGGAAAATATATTCCAAAACCTGATCCTTGTCCCGCTACCCGCAAAAAAGCAATCTCTCAGTTGCAAGCACTAGGCGAAAACACTGAATCATTGGAATCTCTGCAAGTAGAAGAGTTAAAAATGCCAGCTTTGAAACCTGTTAAAGCCCCTACCAGAGTCCCAAGTCGAGTCTCACCAGACATTCCAGCCCCAATCTTGAAACCAATCACAGCAGAAGTGCCAAAATTGATCGAGCGCAAAACGAAGCCACCTGCTCTATCTCTTGCGGTGTCTCCAAAAACATTGAAGGCATTAAAATCGATCGACACGTCATCATGTGACTCAGACAGTTGTAAGTTAGATAGCCCATCATTTGATCTGCCTGAAATAGAGCCATATTCTTCTGGTATGATTGAGTCGCCTAAGACAAATGAAGAAGAGGGGGTCAGCCTTCGCAAACCAAACACTTTGGTGAAGAAAACTGTAGCCCCTCAGAGTAAGTGTGACAATGTGTCAGAATTGGAACAGTTATTTTCAGATGACGATTCAGATCAAGAAACAACAAATGCAAAACCATCGAAAGAAACTGAGAAAGACGTTAGTCCTGAAACATTGAAGTCATTGAATGCATTCCGAGAGACATTGAAAGTTATGAAAACCCAAGGAACTTCTGAGCCCAAAAACTGTGAAAAAACGCCAAGTACTGCAGATGTTTACGATTTCGAAGATTAAATTTATTCCCAACTATTTTTACTTACGAAAAGAAAATAGAAATCTTTTATAATCAGGTCAGCATTAAGACTTCCATTAAATATCTGATGTCCTGACATAGCATTTCAAAACACTTAAATGTTATGCTAGAATTGAAGTGTTTTGTGTATGTTTCTTTGACATCATCTATGAAAGGCAGCTGAGAAATTTATGAGGTCCAAGAAAACTTATGCATGCAACCACAAGTGGAAGTAATTGATGACGTTAAAGCCCTGAAACACTTGAATCAGATTCTTTACTGTCTCAAAAGATGGTGAGTGCATGGGCTTAAGTAAAATTATATGTAGGCATAGTAAAATTTTCTTAAGCTGACATCTAGAAATTATGAGAAATTCAGTCAGAAATTAGAAGTTAGCCGATGGATCTTTCATTTTGGCGTGAGCGTCCTCTGGCAAGCTTTTGTGCACTCCTCCTGCTTTTCACTCGTGCTCAAGGAAATTTTTTAGATCATTCGTCAACAAGCAGAAGGAGTGTCGAAGAGCTAGCTGTTAAACGCACTCCTCAGAGCTGGTCGTAAAACCTTTCTCAGTCTATTTTCTCAAAACTAATTTTTAGCTGAAGAAAGCTAAAGCACTGTAGTGCATCTCCTTCCAACTGAAAAATTAAATTATTTCACGTTTCTGCTGTCTTATGTATGTCACTTAAAGGAATAGCCCATAAAATTTAGGAATGCAAGAAATCTTGGGCTTTCCAATTTTTTTCCAAACTTTCTTTCTCTTTTCATTGAGCACTTGGTTAACACCATAATTCTACTCTAAGTGGAGATTCTTGCTAATAGGATCAAAAAATTTCAGTTAAGGCTTCGTAATAGTTTTTTATTGTAAAACATGCCTCAAGTCAGTATTTTTAAATTAATTTAATTATATACAAGACCAGAATCATGAAAGAATTTGTTTGTCGGGAGAGTTAGTCATTTTGGTGCGCTTAGTGGTCTTTTACTGTACTTGCATCATAATTTTCTGTCATCTGTAACTTGCAAATCTCAGGATTTTCAGAGATCCATGAAATAATAAGAAATAATCAATTTTTTTTATATTCATATTATTATAGTTACTTAATTAGAGGGTTTCTACTGTAAGTTCTCTGAAGGACCCAATGATTTCTTACAATAAACTCAATACCCTTAAGAATACTTATCACAACATACGCCCATATCCATCGCGTCTATTGAGATAAAGGAATCTCTGTGTTTTTTCACAGGTTAATATTTTTCTACGAATCCCAAAGGATTGCTTACCTGTATTTCCACGTCATTTGTTGTATTTTTAAGAAGTGATGATTCTATCATTTTGACTTTGATTTGACCAATTCTTAGCCACTGAGGCTGATTTTTTTATGCGCTATAGACTTATGGTGTCTGAAAATTATTGGAAACCCCGATTAAAATTACTGTTTGGTGCTGCTCCATGAAAACTCAGATCCAAATTAGGAAAACATTTTGAGGTTTTCATAGACCACTTAGTTCTCTAGTCGAGAATTCTTCCACAAAATGTATGACGCTGTGGATTAAAAGAGATACGCAGCCCACTGCGATGAAGTGTAAGCAAATTGTAAATTGTGTTACTTTGTGCATTTCCCCCTTTGAACCCTAGTACCATGTAAATAGATTTAAGTGATACTTCTTTCTTCCTTTCCTTTTCTATAAAATACTGAATTTAGTATTATTGTAGTTCAATTTATCTGTTATTGAATGACTGATTCTACTTTAATCAATAATCAATACTATTTTTACACTTATAATTTGTTGCCGAAAGCTACATGTTGTGTTCATCAATTCTTTTTTATTTACCAGAGTAGTATGATGAGTTACTTAAATAATGTAATTTTAGTTATTTTGAATCTTTTTTTAACTGGATTTTTTTAGTCTGCATCAATGGCTGTATATATATGTTAAAGTAGGATGGTTGCACAGACTATGAGGACAAAATTTTGGGAATAATCATTTTCTCAGCTAAGTTAGTGTTCAGCAAACTGGCACCAAAATCCGCAATCTTTGTATGAAGAACCAAACCTTTTTTCCTAGAGAAGCTTGTAACTTTTTTGCCTTTGGGTACATATTTCAATTTGATAGAAGTTAAAAGACTTTATGGTGAGCTCTCACGAGGCCTATTAACTCTCATTGGGCAAGTTTAGTTTTTAATAAAAATGTGCCCATTTGTCGACAAAACGCCAAAAGTGGCAGAATGAGTGATGCATTACCTCAGCTTTTGAATGTGTACTGCAATGTACACAATAAACTTGCACACTTCATTTCCATGTGTGGTTGTGTCTTAAGGTCAGTTTTTTGTGTGTGTGTGTACAAAAGAAAGTGAAAAAGTACTAGAGTAAATGCAAAATTATTTTTAACATTGATCTTACATGTGTAATCGAATATTAGGTGAAGAATCAAGATTGTTTATTTTACCTTATCATCCCAGAATTCAGTTATCAATAATGAATCAACAAAATTTTTTTATCCTTTTCTTATTTGTAATCTTGCAATTAATAAAAATCATGTTGAAAATTTTTTATACAAAAGCATCCCATCTTGTTCTTGTTTTTCGCTCACTCTCTCCCACCCTCCGTCCAGTTCTTCTTTGATCCGTCTTACCATACTATCTCAGTTAAAAATGAAATCAAGGGTAGAGCTCAACAAAGACTTCGTGCTTCTAAGTTTCTTATTTCAAACATTAAAGTCTCATTAACTCTTTTCAATGGAACTTTTTTTGAGCTTGGTAGTTGGTTTCAAAGAAAATCAGTGACACCATAGTGTTTCTCGAAAACTTCTACTTAGGAATCAGTACTTAAATCGCAAATCCCTCTCATGTGCGACAGCTCCATTATCTGAGAGGTTTTATAATCTTGAGTCATCAGAAACGTAAATAATTTTCTCAATCCTTTTTCTCTCAAGATTTAAATAGCTGCCACTCATTCAACCAAAAGTATCTCTCTAACTTGAGAAATGACATGTGTATTTTAGGAACAGCACATCATGCAAAATTTGATGTATTCGTGTGATAGAGGCCACCCAACAGTTAAGCAGATCCATGTTTTAAGCTTTCTGATTTCGAAGTTTTCAAGTACCTGTAATTTCCTTGAAAAGAAAATATTTTCAAATTTGCATATTTTTTGACTTGTCACAAGTTTAAAAAAAAAAAAAAATCAAATTTAAAGGATTTGAGTTTGGATTTAACATTCCAATTTTCGAACAGAGCTCCTCAACCACCCTTGTTTTAAATACCCATGCATTCATATAACCGCGTGCAATAAATTTTAAGCCATATACATCTATCTTGTATTCAATGTAGGTTATGAAACCCAAAAAATTGTCTTCTTCAATTACCAGAAAAAAATCAAAATCTTAAAAACGCTTTTGCTGTAACTTTCTTGGCAGTCAATGTCGGTACAAGAATTCGCGCTCAACCAAGTCGAGGTGGACCACATTTTGCAATATGGAACCACTATTTCTGGCTCATGTTAGAAAGAGCATACCTAAATGAGCCATTGGTTTCCCTATGCAGGAAGGTGCTTTTGTGGATGAGCTGGAGATTGTGGTTCCTTATTGCAAAATGTAATCCAAGTGATTAATTTGATACTTAATTTGTTGACTGCCAACAGATGAAGGGATATCTCCTCTTCCTCAAGAAATGGAAGTACTCCTCTATGCCTAGATTTTATAGATCTTATTTTGAACAAGTTAATTCTAACGATTAGAATCAAAGCTGACGATCTCCAATTACTTTTCATAATTTTTGAAAAATATGATGATTATTGTTGTTCAAAACTGCTCATAGGTACAGGAATTTTATTGGCATCAGCAATTATTTGGGTCCATTAAAAAAAGTCATAGCAAGTGCTAAACTGACAGTTTTTTGCAATTTTCCAGAAGTTAAAAAGAAGTAGGGATGTGTCATCTGGTCCCTGTACACCTCAATTTCAAGCCTCTAAATCTTTATTGAAAGGTTCATAAATGAGAGGGGAGAGGGGCAAGTTGGAGAGAAGTACTTACTTGGAGTTTAATCGAGCAAATCAGGAACTTTTTGTCGTCAGCAGCAATATTCTCTATTACACTTTTAGTCTTCTATTCAGACTTTTTGAGGGTCGAGCAGGAGCCATCCCAACAAAAAGACCTTTTCTTCTGATACACATCTGGAAAACTAGAATTTAGGGCTTGAGGGACAAGGCTTAGGTAATGAGTGAGGGCAGTTTTTGCTATTTCAAGGAAAATGTTTTTAAAGTTTCAAAATTACATGGAACCTCATGGCGGAAAAAAAGTTCACAGTCATTTTTTGATGCTTCGAAATTGAATGCTGAGAGAGTTCTTTCCGCAAACTTTACATTAAGATTAATTTAAGGTGAAACAGTCAGTACTTTAATTTTTCGGTCGTATTATGTCCCTCAAAAGTGAATTTTTCATTTTTCGCGGGTCTTCAGTGGTGACTGGTGAGTGAACCGTTGACTATGAAAAATTATCAAATAATTACATAATGGCAACCCTGCTAGAACCGCGAGCAAGTTGTGATTTGCAAAATGTGAATGCAGAAATGGCGGTGAAGTTGTAGTGACAGTCATGGATCGAATAGCTAATTCTTTCGCGAATAGTTATAAGATCTTTATACTAGTTGTCGTTGGTTTAAGTTTATTCCTCAAATTCGTACCCTACTTTATAACCGTGACAGTTTTAGTGATTCTTTTCGGAATCCTCGTGTACTTTGACGCATCCTGTGCAACCGATGTTTGTGCTCAAATCGTTTCCTGGGTTCATTTGCTTTACGCTCAAATTTCTAATTGTTTCGTGAATATCAACGCTCAGCCACGGAAAGTGACCCACCATGGTCCCGTGAACTTTAGGCCTCCTTTTCAAATAAATCATTTAAATTACATGAAAATGAAAAATGACATGCCCAGTCCTATCCCACGTGAACTTAACCTCAATCCGTCGGTCAGACCACTTAGAAACCGCAGTGTCGGTCCCTCACCTGTCCCTTTAGATTATTGTATTAATTTCCGGGATGATAAATCGGCGGGTTCTTCTCATTGCTCTCCAAGAAGTGGCCAGAATCCAAAGAGTCCTATCTTAAATGACATAACCCCAAACTACAGCACTCATCAGCGTTACTCTCCGCCGTCCAGAAGTGATAGGAGTACTAGAAGAGATTACCATGTCCCAAGTCCTGGTCCCAGCTCCATATCAAGTAATTGTAGCCAGTAAGTACAATATCAGACAATTATTTCGGTTTTACATTTTAAGTTGTATCTTTACCTGTAACTATTTGGTCAACGATAATATTGTCGATAATTTGTCTGCATTGTCGAAGTAAACTTTCAGTTTGCATTGGGTGCGCAATGCTAACGGATATCATGGAACCGTTGACTTACCCGTTTGGAAATGCGTTGTCGGTCGTCTCTGTTGACTGAAAACCGTTGTGTTTTGAGTGTGCTCCGCGTGCACAATTACATTTAGAGGTTACCTAGCTCAATGCTCTCAACTACCTCCTAAGATCGATGACTTGCTGACTTCCATTTGGTAAACTGTCCAGGACATCGGGCGATCCAAACGCAGTTTAACAACGCCGAGCGTTTGGAATTGGGTAATTCCGTTGCCCAACGGTCCCAAACAGTTTACTTCGACAACGCAGCTGACAATGACAGTGTTGTCGGAAGTGGGCCCACACGGTCAGTGAAGTCCTTGCCAAATGAGTTTACGCACTCTTCTACTGTGACAGGAGATCCTCTCTTGTCCCTCTAATTTTGAAAATACATGCCAAAATCAAGATGGCGATCTTCCGTTGCAGTCTAAAAATGCATTAACACATTTGGTGTACCTATACTTTGGTTGGAGTGCAATTCCAATCAAGGATTGATAATATCTTGGATCATGCGATCCTAGGATCGCTGTTTTTGTGGAAAGTTCTTGAATTTTTTTCCTCCTCTGGGTAGTGCATTAATCAAGATTGTTGCTTTAATTCTAAAACTTTTACCGGTTTAAAAAAAAACAGGTAGATAGCTGTCTTTTTATAGAAGATGCAATCAAGGGATGAATCCAAAACTGAGTACTGCTACTGCGACAAAGGGAACTGAGAATTTACAACCAAAAATGTGGCGGCGCACAAGGCGTTTCGAGTGTTAGTAAAATTGCCAATGTGCTCTCATAAATTCTGTCAAAGACCAGAACCTCATTACAGAAAGGAAAAGCTTGTCCATCGGAACACAAAATTTTTTCTCATTACTTTTATGTTTTTGATGCAACACCAGTTGCGATCAGTCAGGTAGGCAACTGCACTGTTCTTTATTTTCTCTTTATAATAAGATTTCAGTCTTAGAGGGAAATTGTGAGCGCACATTGGCAAAATTACCAACACTCAAAACTAAGAATGTTTCGGCAATTTGGTTGGAAGCAGCGCCTTCAGTTGTGGGAAGCAATAACAATTTTAGTTATTATGCAACTGAGAGTATCAACCAAGTTTTGTACGACATAATTTGCTCATTAAATTTTGTTTATTCTTTGTAAAAATTATATGATGTACAACAAAAATTAATTAAATCCACCATTTTTTAGGTTGTACGACAACATTTCAAGTCCAGGATTTAGTGGCCGCATTGCTCAGTGTGTATCGGAGCAAAACTCTCTGAACCGCTCAAAGCTACAAAATCTGGGCGATTTTCCACTAGTTCACTTCAATCAGCAAGAGGCCAAAAAAAAGTTGTCTCCCAATAACAGTCAGACTACTTCAAAACCAAGAGTCACTGTACGCATTGCACCTCCTGCAAACAGGTAAACAGATTTTATGGCATTTTCAAAAATTAACTTTTGCCTTACTTAGTAAGCCCCTAAAAAGCATGCTGTAATTAGACTCCTCTTGTCTGAAAAGAGTGAAGTTTACAATTTGCCCCTGGTGCTCAACCTTCAGCCTGAAGATTTCAGATGTAGGTTAATCACCAACGGCAATTGCAAATTGGGTTCACGCAATCCGCTCGGAGAATGGTTTAACAATTTCTCTTAAATCTCCCAAAAAATACTTTTACTTATTATACTGTTTGCCAAACAAACCATTTTTTCTTTTTATTATAAGTGTGCAACAAACTCTCTAAAGCAAAATAAACGTTTTCATCCTCTTCCTCCAGTGGTCACATAGTTCTCTCTCTTTAACAGTTGCAATTTGTTTTCTAATTCCAGATCTTTGAAGAAAGTTTATAATGTTGAACAAGAAGAGAAGATGAAATCAGTTCTCGAAGTCTTGAAAGAAATGTCTCGCAAGAGGATGTACTCATCTGTAAGTTGATTGGTTGAATTTATATCCTATGAAACTATTTTCTCTTGATTTATTTCCTTCCCAAAAAAACCTAATTTTGCACTCGATAGCAAAGTAAGCTATCCTCTTAGAGCCATTTTTGAGAAAAGAGGCATTGCTCAAGCATGTTTTTTAAAGCTGCATCATCTCTCTACAGTTGACACAATGGGTCATGAGGTAAGGTCTGAACTGGAAAAAAGCTTAGTAAAAATTTGTTACCCATCAGATTTTATGATTGTTAATCCTTCGTCAATCCATGTAACGAAAATTGAAATCTTCTTAAGTGTCATGGCTTGTACTATTTCAGCTTGGAATAAGCATGAGAAATACTCCTATCAATACACTGTAGATCTGAACGCAAAGATTCAAGTCCTAGAAACAAATTCGGATTTGTTTGAAAATGTTGTAAAACCGAGCATTAAGTAACCCAAGGTCTTTTTAGTCCTTATTTGTTAGTTTCAGATTTAACAATAATTCAACCTTTATCTCCTAGATAAAGCTGTGATCTGTTTAGTCCTTTTTGATTTCATTAATTTGATCCCAATGATTCTCTTCAATTTTTTTTTTATTTTATTTTATTTTTTTTTTGCGTTTTCTGTTTTTTTCTTATCACTCTCTATTTATATTTGCAGGTTGACACAGATGAAGCAGAAAACTGCAAAAGATTGAGGACCACCTCTCAGTCTGATACTCCTATCAATAGACGTGTTCCTATCTCTCCCAACAGTATAATGTCCTTAGATATTACACCTTTGTAAGTATTGATATCGCTCAAATTAACTTTGACATCACTTTAAGTTGTTTCTTAGGTCATTTTACACCCAGTTTGATTGTTAGGAAAAACAGTTCTAATTTTTTGTCTCTGTTTCGGATGATGGTAATAATCCAGGGTGTCTACTAGTAAATAGTACTGATTTTTCAAGGGCATTCTGGAAGTACTGAAAAAGTGCGGAAATTCCGCAAGAAGGTCCAGAATTTTTTCCTTCATACCATGCATTTTTTTTTCATAAAGCTCGGAAAGTATGTAATCCTGCAGGTGTTGATTCTTAGAGTATTATTTGCCTGCAAGATTGCCCACCAGTCATGAGGCCGCAAGTCATTTAATTCTTCACCAAATGAAATTTTGTGGCTACGTCTTTCAAATTTTTAAATTTTACCAAATGGAGATATTGTAAAAGGACTGAATATATCTGTTGAAGAGGTGCTGAATTTCTTGGGAACGTGCGAAAAAGTACTGTAAACGCACTGATTTTTGACCAGTCTGCTTTAGTAGACACCCTGTAATCTGTAAAAAATAAGCACCTGATGGCATCATAAAACCACATTTGTAATGTAATTTTTTATCGTGTTTCATTTCCCTCAAGTCTAATGTCAAAGAAACAAAAGAGTCATAATTTTGTGTAAAGAAAACACTGCAATTTTAAAGCTTCATCATACATTAAAAAATCATATTCTCATCATAGTTAGGAGAGAGTTGGATTAATAATTCTCTTCTAGAGTTGGACATAGATGTATCTGGTAATTCTGGTTTGACTGCCGATCATCTGAAATGCCACTAGATTTTCTGGACGGACATGATTTTTGCCAGTCTTCAGATCCAGCAAGACGTGATTCTAGGATATCCACATCCTTGCATTCCTTACCAGATAATCTGTGCTGATTTGGTATACTGACGTGCTGTACATTGATTTTTAACCAAGGAAATTTTTTGGCCTATGTTGTATTTTTACCTCCCTTTTTTTCCAAGGCAACCTCAAACATTTCTCTGTCCTTCGACATGGCTGAGAAATAATGCTCACAAGTTTTGGACAGTTATTATTATTTTTACACTTCCCAATTATATTTCTGTGTGGTTTCTTATGTTTAAAACATATTTGAATGAAGAAAATAAGTTTTACCTAATATAATTTTTTTGATGCTGTTCTCAAAGGGGTAAACGCATTCGAGACACGTCATCAGACTCTATTGATGAAGAAGTGAAGAAGAAGCGGAAACAAGTATCCACTACGAACAATGAAATTAAAAGTTCCCTGAGTTCTAGCTTGGCTATTACACCTCCTCATTTATCAAGATCAAACTCCAACAAACGAAAAGCAACAAGTAAGCAGTTTCAATATTACTAGGTATAATGTAAATTTTAGTCAGATGTCAGGGAATTATCTGAGAACTTGAAAAACCTCTCTTAGCCTATACTTTCAACCAAGTTGCTTCTCCTTAAAAAGAAAAATGTTAATGAGATCTTTTGTTTGAGCTCTAAGGGTAGCACTTACTTTTATCTTTATGAAAATGTTCTTGTAAATCAGATTTGTTTTGCTATCCTGTATACCTCATGAGGTCTCTGTCAATGGGCCTGTTGCAAACTTTTGCTAGAGCAAAAATAAGGTTTGTTACTCATAGAAAATGTCTCAAAAATCATGATGAGCGCTTTGGCAAAGTCTAAAATACACTCCTTACTTCATAATTTGCATAAGAAATTTGCATTTTTTCAAGCTTCTCACCTCAAAAGCGATACCACGGCACAGATGAACATTTTGTTAGATGAGTCATTCCATCCAACCCCTGCTCACAAGGATACTATGCAATATTCAACACATCCGACGCCAATCCGTCAAAACAATGTGATGGGACGATGATTCTAAGCACTTGATAACAATCGGCGTGTTTACATTCACATTTTTCTCTTGGTGATAGATATCTGCCTTGATTAACCTTGTGCTCTCCTCAACTTGAGGACGGAAGCATCGGCCATGTTGAGCAGGGATTGAAAAGAACGACTCCTCTAACGAAATGTTCACCTGTGCCGTAGTATCCTTTTTGAAGCGGGAAGTTTTAAAAAATGTAAATTTCTGAAGCAGATTGTGGAGTTAGGAGTGCATTTCAGAGTTTGCCGATGGGCTCATCATAATTTTTGAGACATTATCTTGAAGGAACAACTACTATTTTTGCTCCAGCAAAAGATTGCAACAGGTCCATTTTGATTTCTTGATAATAGATCAGTTGCGCTAGCCGCAGAATTGTGTCATGAAAATTCCAAATTCTTGATCAGCAAATAAAATAAGATCCTCCTAACACTAAATTTCCATATCCAATATTAACAGAGATATAGACCTTTAAAAGCCCTGGCTTCAGATATCATCCACCATTGTGAAGCATACCATAGTCTCTCTCATCTGAGTTTTAAGTCAAGCAAACAATGTAAATGTGGGAATCACTAATTGATAATCTCAGAATAGAAGGTGGAAGAAATCATGGTATGCATTACCAAGGTCCATGACATCATTTACAGGAGAGCAATATCTCTGACAATTTGGGATGCGGAAACTAGGCACCTGAACATATCTTATTATTTTTTGTCAATCTATAAGCTCAAACCATCAAAGCACCATTTAGTGACTTGCATAATTAACCTATTGGCTGTGTAGATGATTTACTTTACTTACCACTCTTCTGAATCAAAAAGCTGGTGTTTTTTCTATTCTAATCAAGGGCAATATAGTCTCTTAAAATAATAAATAGCACACCTCCGAAGACTCCAAGGTTAATATGCAACTGAAGCCCAAAAAAGGTACAGTTTACCAAAAAATTGAAGCAACATTCTGTTTTATCTTCCTTGCTGAGCTATCATTTTGCCTTCCTTTATTTTTAGATGACATTACCTCAGCAGACAAACACTTCAAAGCAAGCTCAATATCAGATCAGTCAAGTGAAACATCTTCTGAAAAATCATCTTTAAGTTCTCATTCGGTAAGTCAAGACACAGTAATGAAAATTCCTTCTCAATCTCTTGTATTAGCAGCTCTATTGTTAGGTTGGTAAGAAGAATCAGAATAAAATTCATTCATCTGGAATTTGATCAAAGACATTGAATCAAGTAGACCGTGCATCTGGCTCAGTCTTGTACAGGCGAAGCATGACAAGTTTCTTGGAACTCCATGATGGGAGGGCAGGAAAGGGGAGAGAGCATATGTTCGAAGCACTCGAAGAGACTGCAGAGAAGCAATGGTGAATTCATTTGTACGCTCGGTTATTTGCAAATAACTCGTTTTGAGTCTATTTTCAGACAAAATTCCTGAGGACAAAAGCTGTAGAGTCTATAATTTTACAATCAAATTGCAAAGTTTGGCTTTTCTAAATTAATTACCAATCCAACAAAAATTCACTGGGGCCGCTATTGCGCATACGCAGATGTGCCCAGTTGAGATACTTAAGCTCATCAATGTGAGGTCTGCGCTCTACACTCATCATTCAGTACGCCATGCGATTTTTTAAAAGTTGTAACGCCTTCCGTAACACAAGATGCACGGTCTATATGATTCAGTGTCTTTGATTTGATGCACTCATCCTTATTCGCACAGCTCTAGTTCCAATTTGATGATAGCATTTAAGTACTAACACTAAATTGAAGCAATAATTCAATTATGTATTCAATCTCTTGGATTAAGAAAGTTACTCATTTAAAAAGCAAAATACAACTTGTCAGGAAAAGAGCAAAAATGTCACCTCGCACCTATACAGGGTGTCTACAAGTCCAGAATTTTCGGAAAGACAGGAAATAGTACTAATTTTTTAAGAGTGGTCCAGAAGTATTGATAAAGTGTGAAAATTCGGCGTGAAGGTTCAGGATTTTTTTTCCTTTTTTTGTCATTTTTGTGGTAATTCGCAATTTGAGGGTGATTTTCAAATTCTTTGAATTCGTCAAATGTAGGTTCTGAAAAAGAACTGAATTTCTCTGTTGAGGAGGTATTGAATTTCTTAGGAATGTACTGAAAATGTACTGGGAAGGTACTGATTTTTGGCCAGCCTGCTTTAGTAGACACCCTGCTTTAGGATGTGAAATGAATGCTAAGGAAGGCTTTACTTGGTGATGGCCTTTTGCACGAGGAAACTTTTCTTGGATTTCTTGTTTTGAGCTCAAGTGAGCCCTCTTTTTTTGCAGAAGTGTCCATACCTAGGTTTCAACTCTATCTGTGATGATTGTGAATTGAAAGCACGTCCTTTGCTGAACCTAGTGCATTTCGTGCAAGTCGTTTGTAGAAAACATAGAAATCTTTAATTTTAGGGTCAATTTTGGATTGTTGATTAAGTATTTTTTTTTCTTTATTTGGATATTTACTTATAACTTTGCAGCAATTTTCTCAATGAATATTTACAGTATTTTCTCCTCCCTCTTGCAGGTAAATGCTGAAGCAGAAAACAATAATGATTCAATCGTTGAAGAAGTTTCGAGTGAAAATACCGAGATAGAGGCGAGGCGAGAAATTTCTCTTGACAAAACCAGCGGCTCTAGTGTTATTATCAAAAAGACAAGAAAAAGTTCCGAGGACAGTGTTGATAGTAATAGTAGTTTGTCACATGATGAAACTGGTGTGCTACGACTAAAACCCATCCAAAGGAAAATTCCTGTCCTGAAAACTCCAGAAGAAAAACCTAACAAGGATATCTTGCGCCTACCCAAAGATTGGGAAGCTAATCCAAGATCTCTACAAAAAACACCTAAAAATCCTGGAAAAATGTTGAAAAAAATTCTGTGTGCCATTGAAGGAACAGGTGAGAGCATTTGACTTTTTACCTTGGAGCAAAGCTTGAGTTCAATTATTAGATTTTTAAAAGTGCAGTTATTCAGTGTTCTCTTTGATTGTTTTTTCATGAAAAACAGTTTACGATACCTAATTGAAAGACCTTGCTTAGAATACCAAGAAAGGAGCTGGCCAAATTTTGGTATCATTTGATAAAATGTTGCTTATGGCTTCCTGAGCCCGCTTAGCTCTTAAAATGCAACTTTTCGTGTGTCAATATCGAAAAAATCAGAGCTAAGTAATGAATTTTTCAAATTTTCTACGCATGTTTTCTAATGGAGATGTAAAGCTGCTGATATGTATGTGCAGATGCTACACTGCAGGCTATCATCATTTAGAGGAATTTAATTACTTTCTTCTGTCTCATCTTCCTGGCCTGCAAGGAAACAAAAGCTCGCCTTGATCATCATTCAGATGCTGCAATATTTCTTCTAAAAATTGCATGTGAAAATGCCAAAAGTTAACTTTACAACCGTGCTTTTCTTGAGATTGATACATCAAAAGATCGATTTTCAAAGCTAGTTGTTGTAAATAGGCTGTAAGGAACATATATAAAAAAATGACGAAATTTAGCTGGTGCAGAATTTCTTGGTGCAGAGTACCAAGGAAGTTATAAATAATACCTAATTTAGTTTGAATTTACGCATCCAAAAAATTTAATATCTGGATCACAAGCTGTTCGTTGTACAAATCCAGTTCTACATGAAATTTTGATGAGAAAACTTACATCATCATAAATTGCACCTCGTCTATTGGTCCATTGAGTAGGCTAACATTTTCTGACTATTTTTACTGCAAAACAGTCCCACAGTAAAGTCTTGTAACAGTTTGTCTTAATAGGTTATTTGAAAAATATGTAATTTTGTTGCTTACAGAGGACATAAATTTTGATTCCATGCCTGAGCACGTGAAGAAACTAATCGCACATGTAGATGATGTAGATAGTTCAAACAGTCCAGTCTCGAAAAGCCCTGCTGACAGCACCAAGGAAATCAGGAGTGAACAAAAGCAGTCCCCGTTATCAAGCAATGCAGGTATTAATAAAGCCAGCACCAGTGTCACAACATCTTTCGCTTCACCTGTTGTAAGCTCATCGTTGTCATCCTTCAAATTCCCCGACTCAGGAGCAAAAACCGGCAGTCCCTTCACTTTCTCTGCATCAAGCCAACTGTCTAATCCATTGTTAAGTGGGCAGCGATAGTCTTTGTTGAATGTGCCGTGCGCATGAAAAACGTACGTGCATTGAGGAGAAAGTTTTATACCCTACTATTAAACCAGTAGGAGAGTTGAAATGAAGTCTGGTCAGTCTGTCGTGGCGAAGTTAGGTTTTTATTTTGCTTTAGAGAAGCTGCCAATATTGGTAGATTAAGTTTTTTTTTTTTTTTTACTTTGTATCCTACATCTAGTGTCACTTAATTGAAACTCTCATTAACATGATTAGAATTTGCTTTATTTTTTATTGTTGTTGGAGCTTGTTCAGAAACTGTGCATGAAGAGACTGTATGCTTTTTCTGAGTACAAATAGAAATTTGACCTTGATAGTTGGTTCACCTTTCCAAATGGGCTGATATGTATTCGCTAACATTTATATTTTCCTTGATTGAAAGTGGACCATTATCACGGTTTATCTATTCTAAACCAACATATAAGGAAAAAAGTAGCATTTACAAAAGGCGTAAAGTAATGCAAGTTTCGGTTTTTTTAGCAAAAGAAAATACACATCATATTTTGGTTTGTGTTTACCTAAAGCCAGTGTAATTACCTGTGAACTAAGACTTTATAGAGCTTAGCAGGTTAGCATTTTATTGATTGCCAGAGTGTTGAAAATGAAGTGTTGAATTTTACTCCTCAGAACTTCTAGTTATTTTTAGCTGAACTTCTAATGAATTGTCGGGCTCATCAGTGAACGGGTTATCTTCTATACGCTACTCTCTTGTTTTAGGAGGGGGTTGAAGTTGTAAACCAATTATTCATCACCTGTTATTACTATTGTGAAAAAAATCAGTGTTGTCTTGAAGGATTTGCTACAGTTTAATGGAAACCTCGGCGCATAGGCTATGGCATTGGTTGCTCCCAATGTAGAAGGGTGGAACCTTTTGAATTAGGACCGAGTTGACTACTGCATTGAGATTTCCACTCAACTGTTAGGAATTCTTTAAGACAACTTAGATATTTTTTAAATAATGACAATTAGTGATGTAAAAGTGATGGAATGGCTGTGAAGTAAATGTAAACGTGTGAATTAAAGGCTATAATACTTTGACCCTTTCCTGAAACTAGGAAGTAGCACCTAAAAAACAACTCTTTTGCTGTTGAAGTCAAAAGTTTGTCAGAAGTCCAGCTAAAAATCCTGAAGGGTAAAATTCAACATCTCATTTTCAAAGCTCATTAAAACAATCAAAATCAACCTACCTTAGTTCCGTAGTCCTTATCTTAGTTCCGTAAGATCTTGTTTTGTAGATAGTTACAGTGACTTCAAGTAAACATAGACAAAAATTTGACAGTTGCTTCTGTTTGCTCAAAAAGGGGAAACTTGCATTACTTCTTTAATATCCTTTAATCATTGAATGACTTCTTTTTGTAAAATGGGTTGAGGTTATTTGCTCAGCAAGCATCCGTACTTTTCAAGCAAAAATTGCTGTGATCGGATTTTCAATCAAAATTGTGTTCATTAAGAAAAAACAAGTTTTTATTTAATACTAAAAGTTGGGCCTTAAAAAATCAATATTTGATTAGTTTCTATGTTCAGGCTGATATGTTAAAGATTGCCAGAAAAATGTATTTCCGATGGTTGCAAAGATTAGTTTAGTAGAATAATAGAGTCAAAGGGAACTAATAAAATGTAACCAAGAATTCACAAAAGAATACAGGAGAGTCAAAAATAATGGAGAATCATGTAAGCCATGTAATTTGCCTGATGGTTTGAGGCATGAAACCCACACGATGGTTTAACTCCCTATGTAGAGTAACTCAAATCTTAGCAGGTCCCCTTCTCTCCATGATAAAGGTTTTCAATCATCATATTGCAAAATTTAAAATTAGACTTTCCTGTATCTGCAAAGATCTCTCAAATTTTGAGTCTACGTTTCAAAGCTCTATACAGTCAATATTCAATGTAATCCAACCAAAATTAGAAATATGCTATATGGAATTGAAGGCCCCAATTACCAAAAATGCAAGCTCTCTAATATACTTTGGATGGTAACTTCCCCAGCTAGGATGTATTTTGTAGACTTGAACCCAATTTGCAAAGGTCTCTTTATTTCTTTTGCACGGAATGGGTTGTCAGACTCAACCATCTACATTTATAAAAGTTGTTCCAGTTATTAAACGTAATCCAATTCTTAGCATGTGACTGTAATGAATAAGTGTTCTAAAAATCCTTCTAATTCTCCTTTCATAAGTGACTAATCTCGATCAAAGAGATACGACTCGGCTTATACTTAAGTATGATTCCCAAGTTTTGAAGAAATATTTAGTTTCAGTAGAATACTTGAAGTTCTTTAGTGTCAGTAATCTTTTTCATTAAAGATTTTCCTCTTTATAGTCTTCTTTTACTCCTCGTGTATCAGTCCCAAATAATATAAATTGATCATTTATACTAGAAATGAAGCCACAAAATGAGACACAAAAATGCAAGATGTTTTTGAAAATCACATTTTCATTTGTAATTCAAGATAGAATGACGAAATAAGAAGGGGGAAAACCCACTGAAGTGACTCGCCGCTAATTGTGAGAATCTCATCAGAAACGTCTTAGTTTTGTGTTTCTTATTTTGCAGGCCTAATCTCAGTCCTATGATCCTAGGTTGTTCTCAATATTATAATTAAATTTTTGTTTTAAAGAGGGAACAAGTTCATTTTCTAAGAAGCCTCATTTTGCATGTATTCTAATGCACTCCAAGTCTAAACGAAATGAACTTGTTTCGTTTTAGGAAGAACGGATTAACTTGTTTTGTTATCACTGACTTTTCAGTTATTGATAGATGAGTTGGGCTGGAAGTTCTGAAGGAACTGTTCCAATTTTGCATTATTGTATTAGCACTGTATTTGATAAACCTTTTGTTATAATGATTCTAATATCTTATTTTTCCTATCATCTCTGTAGCTATTTCTTTCTCAATTTTAAGTTTATTTTTATTTGCCTGAGCTCCTCTTTTAATTATTTTCTTTTCATTTATTTTTATTCCAACCGCCATCAACAGATGCCAGATCGATTTTCTGTGGGTTTTTTTAAAGAAAAAAGTGTCATCTACATTAATATGAGCACACAAATATATTTTCAAGAAAGTCCCCATAATTTACGTTGCATCCCCACTGTATATGGTTTTCTACCCCTTAGTCAAGACTAAAGGTCTCCAAAAGCAACCACCAGGAATCCTACGTATTTATTTGAAAACAGGTTTTTCGTTTTTTCGTCATTTTATACTTCCTTTCAAGAGGTTCTACAGGAAAAGTTTTATGTAGTCGAATTGGCATCTCCTATCATGTACGTATGTTAAAATACTCAAGAATTATCAATTTTAAAAATGTTTGCTGGGTCAATTCTTGCTTTTGGTCCTGGAAAAATTTGCAAAAAAAACCATTCGGATATTACGGAGAACAAACTTTAGAATCTTTGAAAATTGAATTTGAATGACTAGTTGGTATACCTGTTAATTGGAGTATCTTCTTCTCTTGAAGGATCTTGCTTTTGTCTTTTCAAATTTTGCATTATTTTTTGTTAAAGATGCTCACAGGACTTAGGATAATTTTAACTAGTTATGCTAAATTTGTCAATCATTAATGTGAAACATATTAAATTCGCCACAAGCTACTGCTGTAATCCTCCAAAGAGCTTAGGCAGAGTCAGTATGTCAGTGAGCAATATTTCTCAGCCGTGTAAGGAAATAGAAATGCATTGCAGAATAGAGCTTTTGCACTCAAGCAAAAATAATGATTTTAAATTAATCTTTGAATTTCTATGTGCAGAATACCCTACCATTTTTTATCTCTGCCAAAGATCACCCCAAAGTATTAGTCGAAATCTCAGTCCTGAAGCTTTCAGTTCAATCAGCAATGACAGCCCCTTTTTTTTTCCTGAGGCATAGTCTTGTAAGGTGTGGCACTTGAGGCTCGCAAGATCGCTTCGTCAGTTGGTGATGGAAGACGGCCTGAGGATCTGTCAAAGAAACTTAATCAGAGTTCCTCTGACAGCTTTTTATACTGCCTTTGGTTGCTGACTTGTGCAACGGACTAGCAAGCTGCAAGTGCTATACCTTAAAACTGAATGTGATCATTTGAATAATTGTCAGAAAAGAGATTACTGGCGCATTGGCTGCATCTGTAAAAAGTGAGAGACGATGGCAGAGTGACTTTTCTTATAGATCAAATGTTTGGAACCTTTGAGAGTTTAAAGTTTTTAGTTTTTGTTCCAGCACAAGGGCATCAAAAATTGTTTTTCAAATTATTACAAAGAAAGCATTTGGATAAAGCAACTTTTATTAGTATGCTGGAGGTCCCTCATTATATGATGTTAAAGCAGAAGATTTCTAAGCCACCAGACAGGTTTGGAAATGCTGCTTGTAGAGTTAAACTATTTCTAGAGTTACATTTTGAACTTGTAAATATGTGTATGTACATATTAAATTTTAGAAACTTCAAACACTGTAGAAAATTTTCGCAATGTAAGACTCCCTTTTTTTAGTTCTAATTATTGTTCTTATTCTTTAAAATCATGGTCAAACCAAAACATCCAGCTAACTATCAGTTGAGCATCATCTCTGAAGTTTAGTTTTGATTTTTAATCAATTATGTAGGAAAAAGATGTCTCAATTAGCGAACCAATAAAACTATCTTTGAATTGAAACCTGCGTGTATTCTTTGTTTGAAAATATTTCAAAACTGGAAGTGCTAAGACTGACATCCTACAGATTTTCTGATCTCACCCAGTTCTGTAAGTTCGTCTCCCAGCTGAAATGAATCCAGGCAACAAGCCCAAAAATACCATATTCATTTCCATTCATAATTTTTGTTATTTTTTTATTATGTTCTGAACCTAAAATTTTAAGGAATCAAGAAACCATCACACTAAATGATTTCAAGGTATGAAATCGAAATGTTCGTAAATGAAGTCTGTATTTAGAGCTAAACAAGGAAGTCCATCAATTGGATTGACAGTATCATTTAAACAGCGAGGCTCTCTAATGCTACACTTCTGAGGCTTTTTTTTGCATTCCCTGTGAATCTAATTTCCTAGAACTAGCCCCATTGAACATTAAAATAAAATGAGTATTACTCTGAGACAAGTTGATAGTGAAATTACGGAGCCATGTATTGGTCTGCTATCTCCTTTGAACTCTTACTTTTTGAAGAATGACTGATCTTACCCATTACAAAAAATTATATGTTTAGGTCAGGTTAAGGACCAGATTTCGAGATATATTTAAAAAACAGAGGCAACTATTATGGAATCAAAAGATTTTTTATTGGAGGTTTATCACAAACTTTTAATACAAATGTTTTTTTTTAAAAATTTCTCATAGGATGCACTATCAAGTAATACCTTTTGTGCATTCCTACTTACTTAAGTTCATATATTAAGTAAGCATTCACAATACTCAATTTTTTACTTTTTTAAGTTAGGTAATACCTATTTGCCTAAATTTTTCTTAAAACTATAAGCACCTTTTTTCTTTCAAAAACTTAGTCAAAGTTTATGCTCGTCTTATATCAGATATGAATATTGTCAGGCAGTGATGCTGATGATGTCAAAACTCCTCTTCGGCCGGGTGTCACTCCAAGGTTTTCCCAATTTATCCATGATAAACGAGCTGTGAGATCTGCAAAAAAATGATAAGTGGAGGTCTAAGTAGAGCTCTATAATAGCTTTATCGTCAATGGATGATGAATTTAGAGGAGTCTCGCTCATTTAATCATAAAAGCAATTATTTAAATTATTCCATAAGAGCAAATTTAACACCTTAAAATAAAACTGAACACGCGGCATATCAATTACATGTAGGNGGGGGGGGGGGGGGGGGGGGTTTGCACAAGATGCGTGTTTAAACTTGTCTTGGGCGCACTTTTTTTGAAATCCCTGTCCACAGTAGCATAATTAGTTCTAGAAACTTTGTACGAAAGTTAAAGCTGCCATCTCTTATTGCACCAAAAGACAATAAAATTAGAAAATAGGTACGATAGATTGATACTCTCGGGAAATGAGAGACTTTTCCGTCTTTTCTCGTAGACACTTTTTTTTTTTGGAATTCAAAATATTTTTATTATTACCCATGTTTAAAAAAATCGCAAAATTTGCCGCCATGGGCCGCGACCCGTGCCCCCCCCCCCCCC